TCTGCCAACTCTCCCAAGCTCCCTAGAGGGGCTTCAAAGACTCCTTCTGGTGGGGGCTACAGTGACAAGGCATCTTCTGTCCCCCAGCTGGACCTGGGATGGCTATGAAAGAGGTACACTCTGATCTGCCTCACCTCCCCAGGACAGGCCTGATCCTGGCCTGGCTGTGCCCAACCCTACTGTGGGAGATTGGCAACTGCCAAGTCCAGATACCCTGACTTGGTAGTCCCCAGCCTTGCACTTGGCCTTTGAGGAAAGGTGGAGCTTGCCTCTAGCAGAGGGGAGAGGCAAGCCTCCAAGCCAAAAGCATAGGGTCTTGTCTAGGCTGGCTTGCCGTGGACATTCATGAGGAATCTGCTCAGCTAGATCCTCCAGTCCTTAGTGAACATCTACTATGTATTACTAGGGAGATGGTGTCTTAGCTTTCACCCCAAGGAAGGGTCCAGCTGCAATATCTGAGTTGGACACAGGACACTGTAGTTGGGGTGGAGAGACTTAGGCAGCTGAGGCATCCATGAGACAGACCCTTGGTGACCATGGTCCTAGTTCTTGCCCTACAGGTCCGTCCTATAGGCAGCCCTACTGGAGGGCTCTACACAGCCTTCTAACCCAGGGTCTCCTGTAGCCCAGGAGGGGACCAGGGCAAGAGAAATTGGGGACCCAACTTCTGAGAGGGAGAGGCAACATCACTCTGAGGGCAGAAACTGATACCAGAGCACAGGGTCTCGGGCGGGACATGGTAGCCGCCCGCATACTTGAATGTACATGCATATTTATTGCTTACATGTGTTTGCCATGTTGTTCACGGGTCCTTTCCAACCCGAGAGGTACGTTTGTTTTGTTTTACCCAAAAATAAAAGTCTGCCAAGAGAGTGTGGTTTCTATTGGAATTTGTGTGAGCCTTCTCAGGACATGGTATTGGCTTGCCCAGTGCAGTGGCTTCCAGCCTATGAGCCACTTGAGATCATGAGGGATGTCCCTGCTACGTGTAGCAATGAGGCTGGGCCAGGGCCTCTACTGCTGCATTCTCTGCTGTTCTCCATTATCCTGACTTTCCAGAGACAGGAAACAGAAGCCAGGGATGTCACAGTACATTGGGGAACACTCTGGGGACTGGCCCTTCTGAGTAGCCTTGCCCTGACTGGATTGGACCCAGCCACGGGGCTTCCTTTGTGTTAGTTCATATTACAGGGACTGGATTATGCCAATCTAAACAACATAGGAGCTTGGAGGCAGCCTGGACTTGTCTGTAGTGTTCATGGAGTGAGCAGTGCCCCGTGTGACTCGCATCCAGACTGGGTCCTTTGGGCAGTGCCCTGACCTGGGCCAAGGGAAGCAGAACATAGTTACTGGTCAGTAAACTAGTCTAGAGAATTCTCTCTAGTCTGGAGCCCTGTAGTTACTCTAGAGGTAGCCACACTCCAGGCAGGCTCAAATTGCTCTGGTGCTGGAAGGCCAGCTGTTGAAGATGGCTGTAATGGGAAGGGAATGTGGCGAGAGAGGCAAGGTCCCAGACAGGAGTCACACTGAAAGCACTGGTCTGGCCCAGAGGTACTAGGACTTAAAAGTCTCCACTGAGAGGGGGGAAAGAATGGAGAACTAAACTAGTAGAACAATTCCAGGCTGTCAGGAACCTGGCTACATGATTGGGAACCATGGCCCAGGGTGAGTCTGCAGAACAGGGTGAGGTATGGACGCTGCAAGAATGGACTCTGTGGAAAGTGAAGTTTCAAGTGAAATCCTGATATACAGGACAGCCTCCCTGGGAAGGAGGACTCTGGAGCAGCAACATGCAGAAGGCACACACAAGAGGGAAGTCCAAACCATGGGCTTCCTATCCAGATGGGATACACTAGATCCAGCTCTGTACTATCAGGTCTAGCCAGCTCCAGGCCTCCTCAAACCATGGTCCAGACACTTGAGGATGAGGCAGCCTAGCCAGGCTCCACTGGCCTCCTGCACTTGAAGGCCCACAAGCAACACAATTGGCCCCTCTGACCTCCGTGTCCTCTACAGGGAGCAGGCTGGAGTAGGAGGCTGGCTCTGCCTCTAGGACTGTGACAGTTTATACAAATGGCACAGGAGGCTCTGGTGGGGCTAATAGCAGGGTGTTTGCTGAGAGAAGGACAGGGGGTAATCGAGTGAAGGCACAGACTGCAAGTGCACCCAGCCTCCCACGGCCCAGAGTGAACTGCTAATCACTAGCTGAGGTCCCAGAAGCCAGGGAGCCATTGTGTCACTGTCAACTGGCTTCTCCACCCTCCTGTCCCAAGTTTTTCCCTGCCAGACAGACTGCTGACTAATATTGAAGGTCACAGGGCCCAGAAACAGGCAAAAGACTGTTTGTGCATACTCCTAAACACAAGAATATCCCTAAGGCATGTCAAACAAGGTTAGGAGACAAAGCGCACACCAAGGCAAGCATGGTGTGGCCCTCATCACTTCAACACCTCTCCTCTTGGGCCTCAAAACTGGAAGAATTGAGAGGGGCAGGCAGCTCATGGGGGAATGGGGGGGTGTATGTGTGTGGGGTGCCTCTGCCTGGATCACTCTCATTAGCCAGCCTCTGAGCAGCTACGGCTACTCAGAGCAGCCTGTGCTGCTACAAAAACCAAGCCTCAGGGCTAGGCTGGACACTAGCTCACACAACAGAACCCAGCGTGCTAGCCAGGGGATGGCAGGTAATATAGGAGGAAGTAAAGTGCTGTGAGGAACAAAAACCGCCCAAGGCCACAAGTCTAACTCAACAGCAGATCCAGCCCTACTTAGAACTATTGCACAGGGACAGAGACCCCTCTGAAGAGGCGGGTGGTCATGAGGCTGGGATTCTACAGCTACACAGTTGTTCTGACTTCAGAAGAGAAACACAGGAGCCCAGGCCCAACATCTGGAGGTGATGGCTGTTTACTGACAAGGAACAGCAGGCTTGAGAGGCTCCAAGTGAAGACAGTGACTTTTGGGACGACTGGAGTCCACAGCTGCAGAAGTGTACAGGTCAGCTCTGTTCCATCTTGTCAGGGTGGGTGGGATCCTCACCTCCTTCTGGGGTGGCAGGTGGTTCAGCAGCCTCCAGAATCAGTTCCAGAGCACTGTCACCAGACACTCGATGTACCTCCTCTCCTCTGGCAGCTAGGATCTCTTCAATGTTCCTGCAGACAGTAAGGGTAGCATCAGCCTTACTCTGGGCTCCCTCAAAGGCATCCCACGGTCATCTTGGGCCTGGAACGCTTGTCCCAGCATCCAAGTGACTCCAGTACTTTGCAGGCACCTAACAGCACCTTCACCAAATGTGTCTGTTAACAATTCCCACCTCATGCCGGGCGGTGGTGGCGCACGCCTTTAATCCCAGCACTCGGGAGGCAAAGGCAGGCGGATTTCTGAGTTCGAGGCCAGCCTGGTCTACAGAGTGAGTTCCAGGACAGCCCGGGCTATACAGAGAAACCCTGTCTCGAAAAACCAAAAAAAAAAAACAATTCCCACCTCAGAAGCCATCTCTCCTATACAGTGTACCACCTTGGCCCCACCTCTCACCAGGTAATGGCCATCCCTGCATTTCTGTCCTGTTCCTACAGATCAAAGCTGAGATTTCTCTGCAGCACAGATTCAAGAGGTGAACCCTAGAGACCCAAGGCCTGCACACTTATCTCACAGGCTAGCTCCTCTGTGGCTCTGCCCTTACTCCCACCACTGATTCTTCCTCTTAGAACATTAAGAAGCCATGAGGCATGGCCATAGACCCATCCTCTGAACTGGCTCCTGGCCCTCCCCACTGTTCTCCCCAAAGTGGGAACACCAACTGAAGGCCAGTGCCGGGCCATAGTCTGACACATACCCTTCCATTTGCCCTGAGTTGGCAAAAGACAAAAAGCCTCCACTAGAAAGTGACAAAGTCATTGGAGAGATCAGAGGTCAGGCAATGACAGAGGTAAAGCCATAGAGCTAGTTTGCCATATTTGGGGCCATTCATGGTTTATTTTAAGTTCAAATTAACTGTTTCCGGATCCACATGGAAGTTGGGCTGTCCAGGTAAAGAGAGAGGTCACAACAACACCAGGCACGGACCCAGGCTCATACAGGCCAACAATCCTACTGTTTCCTACCCCTCCCAGCTGGCCTCACCTCTTCCCCTTCAGGTCAGAGAACCAGCTTAGGTTGTCTGCGATGATGTGGTGGTTCTGGCAACCAGGGCAAGTCACGATGACCACCCCCTGGTGATAGGCCAACTTTGAGATGCGCTTGGATGACCGAGTCCCACAGACCTAGCTGGGTTAGAGAGGTGGTCAGGTAAGGTACACACATTAAAGTCCCACCCACACCCCCTCAAGGACTAACTCCATCCTGAGGGACAGCCTCAACCCTTTCCCAGATGATCCCATATAGGAGAGGCCAGCCCCTTCACTCCTATACGCTTGTCTCCTGATAATCCAACCCATCTCCTAGAAGGCCTTGTCCCTCATAGATAGATCCATTCCCTCCCAATCCTTTTGTAAAGACTCCGCCCCCTCCCAGTCCGTAGGATGCCTCCTCCATTTCTGCCAGAACCCTACACCTTCAGAAAACCAACCAGCTCTGGGTGCTGGCGACCGCGCCCACCTTGCAGGTGTAGACGAGCTGGTAGTGGTCCACTTCCACGCGCCCCAGCGCCGACACACGCCGTGATCTCGGCGCGGAGCTGGAGTTCCGCCAGCCCCAGGCCCAGCCCTGAAGTCTCTCCGCAGTCTTTAGGCGAGCCCCCGAAGCCCAAAGCCGCCACGGTGCTGTATCCCGGGTCCGCACACTACGAAGCAGTGTCGGCACGCGGCCCAGCGCTGTCCGCAACATCCCGTCTGGGATCCTTGACTGCTTCTTTTTGCACCACCCCGTGCGACTGAAGCTGCACCGGCCATTTCAGAAACGGGCACAGCGGCCGGAAGCGGCCCTCTTCGGCTTCCGTTCGCCACCAGCGCGCTACATTTTGTCGCCCCCTAGTGTCGCCCCGCTTGCACATCCAACCAATAAGCTCAGCTCGGTGGTCATTTTATTTAGCTGCATTTTTCTAATACTTGTACAACGCATGTGTAGCGTACAGTAAAAAAACAAAAAACAAAAAACAAAACCTCAGCATCCCCTCACAGTTACACAGATGCTCAGCCTCGGGGTGGTCCTCTAGGAGCCCTCGGTGTCGGTGTTGTCGCTGCCTGTCGTATTCTCGCGATCCCCTTCTCCCTGCCGCCAGCTGTTCTGAATCTTGCGGAGCGCCCGCTTCCTGTGGGACCCGCAGTGTAAGCAGGTAAGCGCAGGTGTGCCACCCGGCCAGCCGTCCTGCCCTCCGCCCCATACCTGCGGTAGTTCTCGAAGCTCTCCTTGAGGCGCCGCCGCTCCTTCTCCGGAGGCTCGCTGCTGCTGGGTCTCGTGCCCTGTAGAAGGAACGGGGCCAGCAGCTGGACAACCGGCTACCACGGTAGCCCTAGGACTCCAGCAGGTGTGAAGCCAAGCTATCTGGCCTTGGAGTCTACTGGACTCCGAGATGAATGAGCATGAGGTGACTAACCCTTTTTAGTCAGGTTAAGTGGAAGACTTCTTTGTAGTGAACAGCTGTATGAGTGTCCTTACATTGCTGCCTCCCTCCCCTGTCCAACCACCCTACATCTAGGGTTCTAGCCAAGAAGAGGGGCTCCAGTTAATGCATCAAACACTACCCAAATGTTACATCATATGCATGTACTACAAAGACCTTGTGATCCCCGGTGTCTAGGTGGAGTCACCCTCCTCCCCAAGATCAACCATTTAGTCTCCAGGGCTTTTGGGGACCCCAGTCAGCCTTACATGGGTCTGTGAAAGATGCTCCTTGTTCAGAGCCAGGAAGGGCTGCTCTGGGCTCTCCCTGTCTGCCAGGACACCTGAAAGGAAGAGCTGTGCTTGGGGGGCCCCATCTGGCATGGCCACCACCTCCCTCTGCTGACAGCCCAACTAGCCTTAGCTTAGGCCAGCCTATGGGCAGGGATCCTCACACGAGTCCAGTGGAGACTGCATTTCACAGACAGGAACAGGCTGAGCCTTTGGCTGCTACATCAACAGGGCTCCTACCATCACCCACCCATACCTCCCAAGCTGACTGTACCAAACACAAGGACAAACACAAGGGTAGAAAAGACTCCAGGTCCCCAGGACAGTTTGCTTATGCATACCAGTCCATATCACTGTTAGCTTGGCAACATTTCTGTGCCTAGTGGTTCCCATAGGTGGGGTGGGGGCAGCCTCAGTGGAGAGCTCAGGGCCTCAAGGTGAGAGGAAGCACACCATATTAGTTAGAAGAGTATTCACTCCAAGGGACCAGACCCAGCAGCCCCAGGTCCTGGGCAGACCAAGGCTCAAGCCTCCAGGCAGAAGTGTGCAGGGAGGGCTATGAACATCAAGAAAGAGGTACATAACAAAGACTCAGGGTATAAGAGCAGCCAGCAGCTCTGCCCCCTTCCCCTCTCATTTTCATAGTGCCTAACTGCTGGCATGCCTTCAAGGGAGCTGACTGCTCTTGTTTTCTCCTTGTGTGCTCACATGGAATTCAGTGGCCTCAGGTTGGGTCTCGGGGGCTGCAGTGGGTGACCGGTGCTTCTCCATCTACACCTCTTGTTCCCCTTTTGCCTTTGGTTAGAGCCTTGGCTGAGCTGAGGAAGTCTGTCTGACTTCTCACGAAAGCTCCCAGGGTTCCTCCCTGCACCAGAGCCTCTCACCACCCACCTTCAGCTACCCCAACTGCCATCCCCCAACTATTAGATCAGAGGAGTGTCCTGCCTGGCAGCCTGCTACTGTGGATAGTACAGCCCCACCTCCTTGCTTGCTGCCCTGTCCATAGCTCCACCACTCCACTCCTCAGTGAGCACACCTGCTTACTGGCTAGTATCTCCCTCTGCAGGAGGAAGGTTGGTAGGGAAAGATGGCCTGTGCAGGGTAAGGCCTCCACATTCACGGTCCTCTGAGCCACAGACCCTGAAACCTAAGCTTCACATTCAAATCAGATTCCTTATTCTCCAGGTGGGTTGGCCTAAGAGTTTAGCCCTTCACCATTTCCATTCCCTGCCTCAGGGAGGGGCATCCTTGGTTGGTATGAATACTGAGACAAAGTAAGTCACACAGCTGAGGATGGGCCAGGGTTTAGGGAGGCAAGGATAAGACTGCAGCCTAGATGCCTCTGGCAGTACATGGTATCCCCACCTCCTCACCTTTGTCTGAGAGCTGGGCATCCTCCTCCAGGTCCTGAGGCAGTGAGAGCTTCCAGACAGAAACATGCCACCCAGTTAGGCCATGGTACAAGCCACCATTGCCCTTCCAGGACTAGGTGTGGCCCAGCCCACTGCCTGCTTGACTCCAGCTCCTCAGTTGACATAGCCATCACTGTCACCCCTCTGCACAGAGATCCTCAGGGACTCAGTCCCAGCCAGGCCAACAGGCAAAGGAAACCCTAGCATGAATCTCCTGTCCTGAGAGCCCAGGATGTGGGCCTTGATCTGTGCCTCACTTTGCTCACAAGCAATGGCTTGGAGTTTGCCCAGCACTCTTCCCTGTATCCAGCCCAAAATGAGAGAAAAGGGACAGCCCAGTTTAAGGGGACAGGAGCACGTGGGAGATGAGTGGGAGGGCAGGTGAAGGTTGGAAGCCAGAGAGAGGCCCAGTCTGTGTCTACACTCACCTCCTGGGAGTTCCTGGGTGAACCATCCTCCAAGTCAGAGCTCTGTGGCCACAGAAAAGGGAGTTGGTCAGTGGGCTCTAGGGGTTCCAAGCACCTGGGTATGGGGTGTGCAGGGCATGGTAAGAGCACCAGCCAAGCTCCATCCTCTGGTGAGGCCCTGTACTTATCTCTAGATATGCCCAGAACATGTATTTCTTAACACTACACTGCCACGCCCCCTGAAGGTTACTCCTTGGTCAAGACCACTGTCCTTGGAGTGGTGTGAATAACTGGGCCTCGAGTTACATCTATGACTGTCACTTCACCATGAGGCGCTCTAAAGAGGAAAACTGGGATTCAGGAAGGCCAGGCATTTTCTAAGGCCACAAGCAGGGCGCCAGTCATGCCAGGCTAGGAATGGGGATGCTTCTGGCCTGCATGGTCCCTCTTGGAATCTTGCCTTGACCCCACATCCTCCCCAGCTCCCTCATTGCCCAGACTACCCTAGCTACAGCAGACACGGAGGCCTACCAGGATGAGCATGTCCAATTGCTGCTGCTTGAGTCTGCCCTCAGTGGCCAGTAATCGGCCCTCAGTCTGGAACAGCTGCAACTGCAGCTCATCTGCCTTCTCACCCAGTTCTCGAACCTGCTTTCGAAGCTTATCTTTGTCCTGAAAGCTTTGCGCACACTGTGCATGCAGTGCTTCCCTTGAGGCCATAGCCTGTAGGAATAGCAGAGGACACAACCTCAGCAAGGGACCTGGCCAGAGATGATGCTCTGCCTCTCATTTGGCAGTTCAGGTCTTAGCCCCTACCAGAGGTCCTGGCTGGATATCAACCACCCTGTTGTGCAGCTGGAGTTGCCGAACTGGAGGGATTCTCAAAGCAGTCAGGGCTCTTAGTACAAATGAACAAACACTGGGTGGAACAGGATATGCCCAGAATCTTAGCACTTGGGAAGTAGAAGCAAGATCAATAGTTCAAGGCCATCTTTTGACATATATGAGTTGGAGGCAAGATTGGGTTACATGAGACACTGTCTCAGAAAACAAAACACTGCAAAGAAGCAGCCAAAAATCTCTGTGATTTAATACTCAAAGTATTTCCTAGGAAGCCCAACTGAGTCCTGCATCCCCAGCAGATAGTCAGTGTGTGTTCCTGTCCCACCTATGTGACATATTTTATAAATTCTGGTTGCAGCTTGACATCAAAAACGGGATTCATAGGTATTCTTTTTTTGTTGTTTTTTGTCTTTTTTTGTTTTGTTTGTTTTTTGTTTTTTGTTTGTTTTTTCGAGACAGGGTTTCTCTGTGTAGCCCTGGCTGTCCTGGAACTCACTCTGTAGACCAGGCTGGCCTCGAACTCAGAAATCTGCCTGTCTCTGCCTCCCAAGTGCTGGGAGTAAAGGCGTGCGCCACCACTGCCTGGCGCATAGCTGCTCTTAAATGAACACAATGTGTTTTTCTTTTGTCTCTTGGAAAATAGTTTCATTATCCCAAGCTGGCCTCATATTTACTACTAGCTGAGGATGGCCTTGAATTTATGATTCTCCTGTCTTTACCTCTAAATGCTGGGACCGGAATGTACAAACATGGCTTTTTGAGACAGGGTCACACATTGGACCCCAAAGTGGCTTTGAACTCACTGTAAATCAGGCTGCCCTTAAATTCACAGAAATTATTTTGTCTCAACTTCCAAGTGCTGGGATTACAGGTATGAGTTGCTACTACTGCTACTGCCTCTACCAGAGAACCACCACCAGTTCTTCTACCAAATGCTCCCTACCCCCAACCTATGCCTCCAGCAGCATCCTCTCCCCTGCTGACATCTCCACCTGCCCTTACCCTACCCAACAAAGGGACTACATCATTCTCCTCCTACATGAGTTCTTCCTTTGAGTAAGGTAGACTTGACTACATTTGTACAAGCAGTCCCAGGTTCTATCTGTCAAGTCAGCTTGAGCATAAATAAATAAAAAATGCTTTGACCATGACTCCAAAAGCTGCTGTACCAATACCCCAACACTCCTTGTTCTCAGTTTCTGAACACAAGCATAGCACCTACCTGGTCCCGCTCAATGGAGACCTCCTCCATCTGCTGCAAGATAGCCTCGATACGGTCCTTGTACATCTTGGCATCCTTGCGCAAGGCCAGGCACTGCAGCTCAGACATCTCCTTTTCCTCCATGCACTACAGGAAGCATCATCCAGCCTCACTGCCTCCCGTCCCCTTGGGCTGGACTCAGGGCAACCACTCCAGAGCACATAAGATGGGTGTAGCTGGGATAATGAGGAAGGCCCAGGAGTCCCAGTCCACAGTAGGCTAACTTAGTCTAAAACCATGGCCTTGGCCACCATCAGTCATCACATTGTAAGCCCAAAGGGTGACCTTAGCTGTGGACATGACACCACTGTGCACTAGGAATTGATAAAGGGGAGACAGTGAGCTAGGTCCCAGACCCCACCATCCCAGTGGGCATTGCTTGCCTGCCCTGGTCTCTCACCCGGGTCCGGAGGGTCTCAGCCTGGCGGAGGTCCTTGCGTAGGGAAAAGATGGTACTGGCCTGCTCCTGGTGTTCTTGGAGTGCCTGACGCCAGTCTTCCTCCAGCACTTGAATGTATGGGCTATTTCTGTCTAGCTTACCCTCCTGGAGGTGGCAGAGGGCAACAAGCCTAGCTGAGGAGGCCCACAGTGCCACAGCTACTGCAGTTGTACTGTCCCCTGCAGATGTGAGGCCTGGTGCACAGTGGCGGTCTCCCTACCTGCGCAGAGACCTCCAGCTCTTGCACCCGGGCCTGCAGCAAGTCCTTTTCCTGCTGCAGCTCCCACAGCAGCTCCTGGCTAGGCCGTTGCTCCATGGCGTGCCTGAGCTTCAGTGTGTGTTTGCGCTCCACCTTGCAGTCATCCTCAGCCTTCATGAGGCTGTGCTTGAGCTGGTCCACCTGTGGGTGGCCCAGTCAGCTACAGCCTCCCCCAGACCACTCCCCTGCAGTGGAGCAAGTGCTCACCTCAAGCTGCAGGTCACGGTTCCGCATGAGTGCTGTGCCTTTCTCTTCACTGAGACGTGCCAGGCGCATGGCCAGGTCATAATTCTCATCCTTGTAGCGCTTCAGCTCCGTGCTGCTCAGCTCACACTCTTCCTTGAGCCGCTGTACCCGCTCCTGGTGCTTGCGCAGTAGGCTGTCCTTTACCCTCAGCTCCTTGATGAAGTCATCCCTGGAGCTCAGAAGGGCTGTCAGGTCCTGAACCTTCTTCTGTAGCTTCATGACCTCTGTCATCAGCAGCTGCGTCAGGCCCGACTCCCCTGAAGCATCTAGGGACCATGCAGTGTCAGAGAGAGTCTGTGGCTATCACCTGTGGACCCTGTGTTTTTCCTTGTCAATAAGTGTGTGCTTGAAGACTAGCAGTTTGAGGGACAAAGGGAGCACTCCTGGCCTCCCACAGAGAAAGCTGGCAGGATGAGTCCCTCAATACTGAGGGACCCACTAGGCCCAGTCTGCCTTGCTGTCCCTCACAGGAGAACTGAGATTCACCAGGACCACTCACATGCCAAGACTCCAGCTGTCTCCCCCCAGTCTCTGTTTTTGGAGATGTCTTGCTATGTAGTCCAAGGCTGGCCTCTCACTCAAAGATCTGCTTGTCTCTGCCTCCAGAGTACTGGGGTTAAAGGTGTGTGCCATCACATTTTTCCCCTAGAAACCCTAGGACTCTGCCCTTGGATGACAACTGGGCCATGCAGAAATGGCACTTCAGAGGGCTCACCACTTCTCAATGAAATTTCCAGGCTGTGAGTAGGAAAGGGCAGAGAAGTGCTCCCCTTCTGGAGACTAACAGGGCCTCAGCAATCCAGGAAGGCCCTGCCCCTGAGATCCTGAGAGTAGTCACCAAGGACCACTCCCCTGATCTACATCCTAAGGCTTGTACCAGACTTCTTCACTCCAGTGCAATCATAGAAGCCAGGACCACGTAGCACCTGAGTCCACCCACAGCACCAACCCACACCTGTGCCTCTCACCAATGATCATGGAGAAGACACGTGCTGGCTCCTTGCCAGTAACTTTCCTGTATAACTGAGGGTAGTAGAGTTCCAGACTCTCAAGGAAGGCTACATAGCCCTTGTGGCCTGTCCGCTGCAGGATGTCCAGGAGCACACCTTCAGGTGGAAGAGGCAGAGTCAAGGCCAAGGTCTGGGTAGATGGAGGCTCTTGGGGATGGGTAGAATGATTACTCTGGGTAGATTTCCCAAGCTCTAGACACCCCCTCCCTTCTGGGCCCTACCTAGCAGAGGAATCTGGGCCATTGAATAAGGCACCCTGCAGGTCTCAGCCTAGGTGGGACAAGGTGCTGCCTTCACTCTGGTGGCTCTCTCAGGGCTTGAACAATGGTGGGGACTCCCCTTCCTCCACTGGGCAGCAGCAGGTAGACATGACAAGAGGGGGAGAGACTCTCACTCATATATCCTACATGGAGATGGAGCTGTGTGGGGCAAGGCCAGGGCAGTGAGTGGAGCATGCAGCAGCCTCTGCCTGGGTGTCTTGTGGGGATCGTGAAGGACTGGGGCCTGCTGGTGTGGGAGCAGCCCTCACCCACTTTCCGCTTGCGGATGACCAGGTTGGGGTCACTGAGCACCTGCTCCTCATCATCAGGGTTCAGGACTTTGCACTGGCGCAGGTAGGGTGTGATCCGTGAAGGGTCAATGACGGAGATGAGTTTCACCCGGAAGCTCTCCAGGGCACTCCAGCACTGGTCGTCATTCTCATAGTCGGACATGTCCTCTGTAGGCTGTGGTTATAGTTGGGGAGAGCAACTGAGGAAGTGCCCACCTTCTGTTCCCTGCTGGCCTGGACCCAGGCCTGAGTGCCAGGGCAGGGCTTTGGGCAGGGTCAGAAGGGACTCATTCTAGGGAAATCTGAGGGCGCAGCCTCACCTCCTCAGCTCTATGGACAGTTTGTGAGGGAAAGCAGAGGTCCATAGACAAGCCCCTCATCAGGCCACCTGTCACACTCACCCTCCCCAAGTGGCTGTCCTGCCTCTGTCACCTCAAGCTTTCTCTGAGTCCTGTGGATATGCAGGGAAGGGACGGGTTGGGGTCTAAGAGAATACTCCTTGTACAACAACCCTGTTCTAGCTTCTGCCCTCTACCCTACAGTGCTCTGGCATGCTCTGGAGGTAGGAGCTTTCACCCCTAGTGGCCATCCTACATAGTACCTTCTTGGGTGGCATGGACCCTGGCTGGCCAGTCTCCAGATTGGGACTAAGAGAGTCAGGTTGGTTGGAGGTTTTCTCACTCTGCCAGGGTGCCAGGCCTGTGTGTGACTTCCTCATTCCCTGACAGGCCCCGTGTTTTTCAGGCCTTCCGTTGTAGCCTGCCAGTGATGCAACAGCCCTCTGCCTGTGGCACGGTGCTATTCTGGGAGGGCAAGTAAGGGTTGGCCACAAGAGCATGTCTGCCTCCCTGCTAGGCTGGAGGACACTGGAAGGGCAGGCAATGTCAGTCACAGCCTCCAGACATCTGCTGTGGCTTCCCTCCAGTTTTTCAGGTGCTAGGCACCAGTAAATCCTGTGCATTTTTGCCACCAGATGAGCCCTGGCCTTCGGCCGCACGATAGGGATCAATCAGGCCAGTTGTACATAGAAGGATTGCTTATGTGGAGCTTCCTACTGTTTCCACATGTAGACAAGTGAAGCCTCAGTGAGTATGGCTTCAATGACGATAGAGCCAAGCTAAGGTGGCTATAGAGAGCCCCTGGCTCAGTCCCCAACCCCAGGAGAACACTGAGATCCCGCCCAGAGGAGCTGCATCTCCATGGCAGGCTTGTTCTTCAGAAGCACCTCTAGGTTTCCTGCTGTACCTTCTGGTTGACCCAGTGGATGGACATTTCTCTCAACCTTGGGCCTGTTGCCTGCCATTCCAGCCCCACAGCCACATGGTCCCAGCACTAGAGGACTACACTGCAATGTACAAGGATTAACCAAATGAAGGGATGAGAAGGAGGCGGCCACCTGCCTGTAGGTACTGACTGCTGCTCCAGGGTAAACGCTCCAGGATGCCCAGCAGTCACCACAGGTTTCCAACCACCTTCCAGGAAGGGCACTGAACTTACCTCAGGGTCTTGTGGGAGCTGCCTGCCAGCTGGATGCTGCCTGGGCTATGGGCACACCAGGAGCCTTGGTCTCTGGAGTGTGGAGATGCTCCCTAACTGGAGAAGGGTGGAGCCATGAGGGAGGCTGTGCACTTCCTGATGTGTTCTGGTTGACGCCACAAGCCAGCCAGTCCTCCCGCAGGGGGACAGTCCCTACTGGTCTACCTTCTGATTGGCCCATCCAGGAACAGAACAAAGGGAAGTAGAAGTGCTCTGGGAGCAGAGGAGCCCTCCCTGACTGCTCATCTGGACTGGGGCCCTGGAGCCACAGAGAATCTGAATATCTGGCATTGTGAATTGGCGGTCCAAGGCCAATTCAAGCCTGGATCCAGGCTTCTAAAAGCTGCTTTTTCAACATGGCCCTGTCTCATATCCTCACCTCCCATCTAAGGACAGTGGTTCAGGGTAGGTGCAACAGCACAACCCTTGGTCAAAATCCATAGGCTAAAGGCAGCTAGATACAGCCTCTACTTCAGGGCGGCCCTTCAAGAGTCAACCTGAGATGGGCATGGGGACCTGCTAGCCCCGCCCAGCCAGTGGCTGTTAACCTGAGATGGGCATGGGGACCTACTAGCCCTGCCCAGCCAGTGGCTGTTAGACAGGTGCTGCTGCCTAGCTTGTGAGATGGGTTGAGGCAAAAGCTGTGTGTGGGAAGGGTGAGTGGGAAGGGTGTGTGGGAAGGGTGTGTGGGAAGGGTGTGTGGGAAGGGTGTGACTCATACAGAGCAGAGCCCCAGCTGGCTCCTTCCTGTGTGCCTTTCTGCTCGTTCCTGTGGGGTCTTGATCCTACTTCCAAAAGCATCACTCAGGAGTCCTTTTTGGCCTGCGGGTGGGGGTGGGAGGGCACACTGCAAGGGACTGTGCCTTGCTGGGTTTCCAGGATGGCAAAGAGGGGTCCATGGCTTTGCAGTCACTCCAGGAAGGAGATCAGAAGGCCTCCACAGTGATGTCCCCAGACAGTAAAAATACACATCATGGTGTCTTCTTAAAAGAGTTAATAAATGTGAAGCTCTTGCCATTTTCTCCTGAATGGAGAAAAGTAGTGCAGAGGTTAGAAAGAGCCAGGATGCATGATGTGCCCAAACAATGGGCAACCACTGCTGGTGGTTCGTGCATGATGGGCCATCAGCCAGGGTGACTGCTGGTACAAGCACTAGGACTAGGCTGGTCATACCATTTTACTATGAGCTGGAAATTTCCCACAGAGGATGAATATATGTAAGAACTAAATCCTGGAGAGCCAAGGGCTCAGGACTTACAGAGTCTGGTGTCATGATAATACTAAGAAAAAGGAGAGAGAGGGCTGGAGAGATGGCTCAGCAGTTAAAAACACTGACTGTTCTTCTGGAGGTCCTGAGTTCAATTCCCAGCAACTATCTGGTGGCTCACAACCATCTGTAAAGGGATCTGATTCCCTCTTCTGGTGTGTCTGAAGAGAGTGACAGTGTACTCACATACATAAAACAAATCTTTTTTTTTTTAAAAGGGAAAGACAAGATCCAATGGGGTGTTGGCCCCATGCCAAACACAAGCCTCCCATCACAAGGGGGAGCTTCTGCTATGATGGATGCTGGTTCTGGGGACCTCACCTAGCAGGTACTGGCCAGTTGGCATATTGCCTTATTTTTCTTTTTTAGCGATTTATTTATGTATGAGTGCTCTATCTGCATATGCACCTGCATGTCAGAAGAGGGCTGTGAGCCATCATGTCGGGGATTGAACTCATGACCTCTGGAAGTGCAGCCAGTGTTCTTAACCACTGAGCCAGTCCGACACATTTTCTTGAAATAGGAAGAAACGCTGTTTCTCCATTCTCTGGTCTCTGGTGAAGTGCTGGGTCCAGGGGCTGCCTGGGCAGCAGAGGGTGTGAGACGCTCCCAGAACTGGCAGGCAATCACACCCCCAGGAGATGGAGGTGCCCAGCACTAGACAGACCCACAAAAGGCTACATACATTGCTTTTTAAATGAAAAGGAGGCATTTACTTTATTCGTTCACATCTGTGGATCTGCATTTGATAACTGTTAAGCCTGTGATCAGGTGGCCACTGCTATCATCACAGCCTGTTGCTTGCTGCACACAGCTAATCTGCAGGCCTGCAGCTTTCTGGGCTCCCATCTTCTTGCAGAGGGTTGTGGGCTTCTGGTCAGACTTGGGTTTCTGGATCCCTCAAGTCCTTGTCCTGAAACACAGGGATATTCTTGATAGTGCCTGCACCCAACCAGGCCCGAGTGCACAGGTGGCACTGCTGAACAGCAAAGACTGAGCTGGCACTGTACTGAGGACAGACAGCTCAGCCTATGATGGCTTCACAAGCCAACTAGAACATCCTGACCACCTCAGTCCCATCACCTTCCTTGCTTACCTGCTGACTGGGACCCAGGGACCCAACAATGAAAACAAGGTACAGCCTGGGGGTTGTGGTCAGAGAAACTGCAGGTAAATATGCTCATGGGCTGCATGTGGTGGACACCCCAAGACTTGCATTGAGTCAGCAGTACCACCTCAGAAAAGCAGTCAGAGAGGGTGCTTCTGAGAGCTAACACCTTCGCAAAGGAGGGGATAAAACTCAGGCAGAGGGGAGTAGTGCCAAGGCCAAGAGGCACACCGGGCAACATGGGGCTTCAGGTAGGGAAGGGATGGCAGACAAGGAGCATCATGTATCCCTATAGGCCCAGCCTTCAGACTTGATGCTGCATCCCTCAGGTGTTTTCAGAGCGGGCAGAGGGAATCCATATTCTAAACTGCCTTTTCCTGGTTGCAGGGTGGCAGCCTCCATAGGGACTCACCTTGCTGGTCAAAGCAACTTCTATTTCCGGGAATGCCGAGCATGCCGAGTCCTGAGCACATCGAGGTCATCAAGGTCATCAGAAGCATCCAGGTGGGAGGGAGCAGAGGCCTCACCAGGACTTGGAGTTCTCTGAAACGTCAAAAAGTCTAGCCAGGGTAGGGAATGGGAAAGGGACTCCGAGGACAGGGCCCATTACTGCCCCAACCCTAACATCAGATACAGGCAGCTGCTAGAGTGTGCTCCCCCAGGACAGTTACATGGGAGGAACTAGGTCCTAGCTTTCAGCAGTTTTGCCCCTCAGGTAGGGTTTCCGACCATTAATCATTCCATGACAGCCACCCTCTTGCTCTGAAGTGCAGGCCGATGGAGGCAGAGACAAGAATATATCCTAGAGATTCCCAGGTCTCTACCAGGAAAGGAGTGACAGCTGTGGGAAGGCTCCACACATCTGACCTCTGCAAGGGAGGAGACTTGGTAGGACTCCTTGGGAGTAGCCAGAGAAATGGGCCCACAGGTCTTGTCCCTACGCTCCTATGGGAAACAGACTGTCTTGCAAGGCCAGCTCTCTGTGAGCAAGACATGTCTGAGAGGAACTTTGTACCCACAAGAGCAGGAACAAGGGCAACTGACTCGTCCACTGTACCTACAGCCCAGCCTAAGATCTTCTGTCAGGCCAGCTCTACCTTGAGTTTAGGTGTGTGGTATGTGAGTGGGGTAGGAAGTATGTCATATTAGAAGGCTGCCTCTCTCTCCTGCTATACCCAGCCCAGGAGAGGCAACGTTTGCTAAGCCCTTTTCTACCGGGGCAGACTGGATAAGCTTCCTCCTCTTTTAGAAACCCACAGCCTTCTCCCTTATACAACTTCCACCTGCTCAGCCGGCCAAACACACAGGCAGGCAAGGCACTGCAAGGCCCTATGCCTGTCACGGGAGGCAGGGCTGCAGTCTAGCATCTGTACCTGTTCGGAGTCTGGAGCTGTCGGGCTTGTTTGCACTCTGCAGGCCATGCAGTCCAGCTGTCGAGTCCTGTCCTTGAGCTCCAGGTCACCAAGATCTTCACTGTCACTCTCAGAACCCACAGCCATGGCTGGTGACAGGGTGGTGGGGACACTGTTGGGGGGCAGAGTGGCCAGGAATGCAGGAAGGGAGAAGATAGCTAGGAAACGAGTCTTTAACAGGAGGTAGGCTGGGTTGTCCTGGAATTGCCTCTGCACCAGCTCCAGGGAAGCTTGTAGGGCTCCAGCCTTGGGCTCAGGCTGGGCCCCAGCTGCCTGGCTGGCCACCAGACAGGAAGCCTTCTGCTCCAAATCCTGTTTATGGAGGAGGAGGCTGGACAATGCTCGCAAGCTGCACAGGGAAGGGGGGTGATAGGGCATCTTGCTCCCCAGTGGAGGCACGCAAGCACCTTGGCACCCCTTCAGCCATGTCAGGGTGGCTGCCTCACTTTCCTGGGAAAGCAGACTTAGGTCCAAAGCCTTCTTTTCAGGCCTAGGTGTAGGTGGTATTTCCTGGCCCTGGTGTCCTTTGGGTTCTGTGTCTGTACTGGCTGGAGGCTGCTCCAGAAAAGCAGGAGTCTTGGCAGGGGAAGGTAGTTGTTTTGCTTGTAGTCCTATGGTTTCAGGGGTCCTCACTGACTGGGGGAGGCCCACCACAGCTTGGATAGGGAGCAGCTTCTGAGCTGTGAGAAGCCAGCTGACAGGCAGGCTGGACTTGGTTGCCAGGGGCTGCCCACTTGCCGGTGGGTTAAGAACTGGTGGTAGACTGAGGGGTTGCACAGACAGCTGAGTAAGGCTGGGGGCTGCTGGGAGAATGGGCAGGACCTTGGGCAGGCTCTGCTTCTGGGATGTGGTAGAGCTCTGTCCTCCAGTACTCAGAAGGCAGCTTGTGGGGACCTGCCCGGGGGCTAAGGCTAGGCTCCTAAAAGCAGCAGGGGCTGCAATCTGGGTCCCTTTGTGGGAAGAATTTAGGGGAATGGTTTGTAGGTTGGGGGGCTGTTTGTCTGTGGCTGAGATCCCACCCACCTGCCAGGAGCCAGAAGGACTTGAATTGACCATCACTGGGGCAACAGGTACAGAGAGTTCGACACTGGCTGTCGCAGGGCTAACTACTGGGGCACCATGGGGGGCTGGCAGTGGAGGGGGCTGGAGGGTCACAGGTGAGGGGAACAGCAGCTGGGTGTGGGGGGCAGTGAGAGGCTGAGGGGCCTTCTTGGCCTGGGCCTCACGGAGCCGCTTCTCCCGAAGCAGCTCAGATACAGTCTTAGGCTTTGGCCGGAGGCCATGTGGGGCTGCTACAGGAACTTGGAAGGGGGTAGCCTCAGCCCTGCAGGATCCCAGTCGTGGACGCCCTTTGTGGCTGGCTCTCTTTGCAGGTTGCTCACCTGGCATGCTTGGAAGAAGGCAGCCTAAAGGATGAGACAACAGCTGGACGAGAGCTGCAGGCTCTGTGCCCAGGGACACCCCCACATGTGAAGCCCCAGCTCACCTCATGGACCCCCAACCCAAGGTACTCTTTTCACCAAGAGGGCAGCAGATACCAGAGGCGGCCCAACATGTCCCCTCAAGCCCCCAGTGGCAGCCCAAAGGTGGAAGCCCAAGTGGTTTCAGGACTTTCTAGCCTATTCTCAGGGTCACTGACTGTGTTGCTAAAGTTGTGGCTCAGATGCATGGCCATGTCCCACCACGAGAGAGACAGAAGCAGCCTACGTACCTGTGCTGTTCTTGGCATTAGAGGATGCCTGTAATGAGAAGAGTTAGACTGCAGAATCTCTGCTGGATCCAGGACGTCTTCCCACCCACCGCCCAACTCTGGGGGCCTCCCCTCTACACTCTACTCAGGGGTCCTGGGAAAAGGACAGCTGCTGCTGTAGGCTTTCCATACAGCCCCACTAGAAGCTACAGTCTATCAGGTTATCATGGGACAGTGTGGGGACTTCGGGCTATGGGAACCAGAGTTCTGTTTTGGTTCACTGTCTCCCCAGGTGACAGGGCTCCAAGGTGATGCTTCTCCCAAACTAAGTGCAGAGTTTGGTTCCTAGAATATATAGATTAGTGACTTGCAGAGAGTAGGGCTCATGCCAGCCAGCCCACCTGCCCACCCACAGCCCACCTTATACCTGCCTCAGGCTCTAATCAGACCTCTCAGGGGGCTGCTCACACAGACGACTCTGAGAAGGTATGGCAGGGACTGTTCTCAGGGAGAGCCACACTTTTGTATGAAAATGTCTAGGAATTGGCCTCAGCAAGGAAGGGTTGGGACACTGAACCTGGGTCACTCTGGGATAGGGATGGGCAGTACTTGTTCTTACTTCTTTTTGAGGCAAGGTCTCATGTAGCCCTGGCTGGCCTGAAACTTGCTATGTAGACAAGGTTGATTTTAAATTCATAGAGACCTGCCTGCTTCTGCCTTCCAAGTGCTGGGATTAAAAGCGTATGCCACCACCCAATCTGTCCTCACTTCCTGTTGCCAATGAGTGTTACCTGCTGGGTATTCTGGCTGCCAGGCTGGAACAGTACAGGTGGCTGGGTTTTCCTCTCTCGAACCACTTCCATGCAGCCTGCAGTATCAATCTGCAATAGCTGAGAGACAGGAGAGTAAGAGCCACCCTGCTCCACCCTGCTCCACCCTGCACTGGCCAGGCCCAAAGATAGTCAAGGAGATGGCAAGCAGCCCTGATGACGGCTGTCCCAGGAGCACACCCAGACTTCTAAAGGGAGGTCATGACAGTCTGAGAGCCTATAGCCTGGACTTGGGTTCCATGCTGCTGTCCCTTCTTCCAATGAGGGCCAACACAGGCTCCTACCATGTCCCAAGCCTGCCTGCCTCCTCATCTGGGTGCTTATCTCTTTTCCAAGTCACTGTTTAACTCAAAAGATGGCAAATGCTGAAGAGCCAAAGATCCTTTCACATTAGTTTGCTGAAAGCTGTAGGCTACCAGGAAGCCAAAATGTGATGACTCTCATGTGTGAACCTATTGCAAGCTTCCTATTTTCACCAGAAGAATTGAACAAAGCAGCCAGCACCCTGCTGGGGCTTACCTGAATAAACAGTGTGAACACCGGAGTGCTGGCCAGGTAGGCACACTCTAATTGCATCCTGATGCTGTCAGCTAGAGGATAAAGGCAAAGGGGCTCCAGTTTTGAAGCTCCCCTCAAAAAGGATCCCCAAGACAGATGAAGGCAGAACAACCACAGAGCTCCACACTACCTCAAAGAGCAGAAGGTAGGGCCCCAAATCTCACCGTCACCCCAAATCTGGCTGTCCCTTGTTTCACAAGGGCAGGGAGAAAAAGAGTGGCCCAATTGCCCACTCACAAACTCTTCAGGGATGGTCCTGTCTGTCCTGCACAGACCTGCCCTCTAAAGGACCCATTCAGACTACTCTGCTATGGATCAGTCTGCCACAAGGAGTGGTGCTTGCTCCCACCCCGCCTCCAGTAAGTTCCCCAAAGAGCCCTGGGTAGTACCTTGAGTCTGTACAGTTGCAGGTCTCTGGGGAGCTTGTGTGCAGGCCAGGTTGATGTCACCCACCCAGGGTATCACAGCCAGCAGAAGCCTGTGTTTAAGGAGCCTGCGATGTAGAGCCTGTCTCTTGAGTCTTTGCTTATTCTGGAAAGTTCCATGCCACAGCCGCCGCCGCAGATAGGGCCCAGCCATATTGTTTCCAGGGTCAGACTCTGAGCATGAATTAGGCAGAGGTGGCTGCCTCGGTCTTTCCTTCACCAGTGTATGGCTCTGGGTGGTTGGATGAGTCCTGATTAACTTCAGCATTTTTTCTAGGGGCACTTTCAACACATGGTGCATATCAAAAGAGACCCTGTGAGGCTGGTTGGCTACAGCAGGATCTGGTACAGGCCTGCCATTGTGCAGGTTTAATACCTCCTGGCGAGAGCACACACTTGCTATTTGGGAAAGTACTCTGTGGTAAGGTTAATGCGGTCTTAAAGTAGAGCCTGGCTTAGCTCCCTCTCTAGGAGATAGATGCTCTGGCCCACATGGCAGGCAGTACCATGGCTGAGCTGACTGCATTGTCCCTCCAGCAATCCCCAATGCAGAGAAGCAGGGCAGCCTGGGCAGTCCAAAGGCTGCTCCAGTCACTGCCAGAGCTACATCTGGCTGGCCCCAGGCCCAACTCTGAGGACAGAGGGGAACAGGTAGATGCATGACCAGTCAAGTTGGACGGACACTACCCAAGGACACCTCCCAGACTCACAGCAGTTGGAGGTGGGGAACTACCCAGTCAGATGTGCCCTGAAGCAGATTTCCTTACAACCTTTAAAGCCAATGACTTGGGGACAGTGGAGGCTGCAGCTCCTATGAAGGCCACTGCTACTGTACAACTCTGAAACCAGCCCTAAGCAACAATTATAGTGAATAAAGGTACAAGGCTTTTGCTAGGTCAGAAACCAAACTGCCACACTGTCCAGAGTGACAGCCATTGTGACCACTAGGAGCACAGAGCACCCACTACTGTCCTTGCTCACATTCTAAGGTATACTGGGCCTACCTTGCATGCTGGATCCTTCACACTTGCTAGGTGAGTGTCCGAGAAGTGGAAGAACTGGATTCCTCTTGGAACAGTGCTGTGGGTCTCACAGGGCACCTGCATCTGGTTTTTCTCAGGCACAGAGACTGTGGTAGAACCTTCCTTGTGGTGATTTTGAGTGGCATCCTGAGTGCAGCAGGAGATAGCACGGTGTACTAGGTAGCACCCTGTCTCTTCTCTCTGTGACCAGCTGGTGATCAGCCTGGTAGGAACCCACAGGTCAATGTCTGGCACTCTGTACTGCAGAGGGGCCAATGCTCTGCTGTTCTGCAGAGACTCCTCCAGCTCCACATCCGAGTCTTCACTACTGCTGCTGCTACTGCTGCAGCCACCGCAGTCCTCACTGCCACTGCTGCTGCTGCTGGAGCTCCACTGGCTACTGTGACGGGGCCTCTGCCCTCTCCTCCTCTGGAGATGCTGTTTCTTCTGAGAGGAGGAAGAGGTTCCTTCAGGTCTCAGATACTCAGGCATGCAGGTAACAGAGAAACAGGACACTCTATGGAGAGGTCCCTTAAGCATGAACACCTCTGGGAACAGAGCACATTGCTGCTGAGGTATGCTCTCCCTCTGCCCTTGGTCTCCTGATAAGGATGTGCAAGAGTCAGAAGAGCCTTTGCACTCCCTTCCCAACCACTACCATACCTCTTCTTGCCCAAGTACTCTTACAGGTTACGGTCAAGCATAACAGATACACAAAAAGCAAACAAATGTCTCACCCTGGCCAAGATTTTCCACTTGCTCAGACACTGGGAGCCTGACCGATGGGGCAGTTCAGAAGCTATTCTTGCCCAGTGACCTGCAAACACAGCCACAGTAGACCAGCCTCTAGGACAGAGGCTAGGTCATCAGGATGGGCTTCTCTCATGTGCTTGTCAGCATGTGAATCTCAAGGCTGCCCAGCCTGAGGAAGCTCTGGCACACTCAGTAGGAAGGGAAGGTCACTGCAGAGGGATGCATGCACGTGCACTTCTAGGGTAGTGTGACAACAGGTAAAAAAATCTTTTGTGTTTTGCCAGTCCCTGAATCATATTTAGCTTTTTTTGAGATGGTATCACAACATCAGCAAGATTTGGCCACAAACACTTAGCTCTCCCCTGCCCTGTAGTAAAAAGTTGAGAAATCCAGCAAATGCAAGTTACAAAAGATTTGACTGAAGCTGGACTGTTATGTGTGTGAACGCAGGCTTACACATGCCTCCTGAGGGCCAGGATTAAATGTATGCACCACTTTGTCTGGCTTCCCAATCTTCCGTAGTGAATATCTACACATTTGTAATGGGGAGCATGGGGTTGGAGCTTGGAGGCATGCTTGTCTAGCTGTAGTGAGGTCCTGGATTCCATCCTTATCTCCATCCCCAAAAGAGAACAGCATTTGCAACTGGGAAGCATGAGAATGAGGCCGAAGCTGATTTGAGGACAGCCTGGGATTCGGAAGATGGGCTGCAAGAATTTGCAGTATGATCAGAGTCAGCAGCAGCAGGTAATGTCCGACAACTCACCAACACCATATTTTTCTATTAACTGGATCAGCTGTTGTTCTTCTTTTGCATTCCACCGTCCCTTCTTCAAACTGAAATGTAATCTTCTGATGTAGCTGAAAATAGTGTGGAAACAGAGGGACACTTAGATGCTAAGACCCCCTTCACGGCTCTCTGGCCTTCTCAGTGATTTCTTAGGATAATTACCACAACAAGCAAAAACAGAAACAAAAACGGAAAAACAAGACAAAACAAAACAAGATGGACTTTATCAAAAATTATTTTGAGACAGGGTTTCTCTGTGTAGCTCTGTCTATCCTGAAGCTTGCTCTGTAGACCAGGCCGCCATACAGAGCTCCTCTTCCCTCTGCCTCCTAAGTGCTGGGATTAGTCATGAGCTGCCACCGCCCAGCACATTTCAAAAATTTTATGCGTTAAGGCAGTGATTCTCAACCTTCCTAATGCTGTGACCCTTTAATATAGTTCCTCATGACATAGTGACCCTCGGCCACAAAACTATTTTTATTGCTACTTCATAACTAAATTTGCTACTGTTATGAATTGTAGTAATTATCTGTGTTTCTGATGGTCTTAGGCAACTCCTGTGAAAGGGTTATTTAACACCCTCCCCATCAAGGGTTTGAGAACCACTGCTTTAAGGCATCTTGTAAAGAAAGGAGAAAAGAGCCGTTGACTAGAGTGTGTACAAATCCTGCATCTGACTAGGGACTTGCATTCTGAACTTGTAAAAGCCAGTAATCCAAAGACAGGTAACTTAAACAAGGAAGGGACTTGATAGATGTTTTCCCAAAGAGATGTATACATGTTAAGAAGGCAGCAGGCACAAGCAATGAGACTCCACAGTTAGCCATGAGGGGCTGCTGGGGGATGGTTCTGTGAAAGTCCACTCCACAGGCACTTGGAAGGGGGCACAGCCTCACATGCTGCTTGTGGGAGCACAAAAGAGAGACATTTTGCACAAAGTCTGGCAGTTCCTCCAGAAGCCAAACACAAGAGTCACTGACCCAAGGACACTCCTGAGATAAATGAGCATGTTTCAGTAAATATTGGCCCCAGATGTTCAGAATGTTCTCAAGGCGTGTGGACCTTTTATCCAAATGTATCACACAGCATCTATCAGAATAACCTTCCCTGCAAATGCCAGGACTCCGAATTTGTACCCTACACTTTCTTCCTGACAATGAAGGATGTTCTACATTCTTGTCCAATATATGAGCTCCTAGGACACTTGAAACACCTGAGTTTTGCAGGTACAAACTATACTGCCCCAGCACAATGGTGCCCCATGCTCTGGTTTTTCTGAAGGCTATGATCTGCACCCCAGGAATACTTGTTACTCTGTGTGTGTGTGTGTTTTAAAACAATTCCCCTACATGTGTGAAATACTTCACTGTGGTTTTGACTTGCATTCCTGAAATAAGTGGCTCTGAGCATCTTTTCATGGGTCCTTTGGCTACTGCTTGTGCATCTCTGGAGACAAGTTTGTTGAAGACCTTTGCCTGTTTTGAATGGGATTCTGCAGGGCTGCTGAGTATAGATTTCTTTGTAGGGTGATCAATATGGTTTACATTAACAAGGTAAAAACTAAAATACATCTGAATAAATCACTGAAAAGAAGTAGGGGGAAAGGAGAGGACCTCTCTGCTGGGCCCTTCCCACCAGCAGTGTGGGAGGACACCTGCGAGTCACCACCAGCATTTGACTCCTGTGAACAACAGAAACATCAAAGTCTTGCTTGCTAACAGTGCCAGCCCCAGTTTGAAAAGCCCCTATGTGCTATCACTTTGGGCCACTGTCAACCAGCCTGCCTACAGAAGAAGTGTGACTCAAAGCAAGTCGCTCCTTCAGCCAGTGCGGGCAACTCACCGGTCTCTGCACTGGGCATCGCTCCTACCTGGCACCTCTTCCCGGATTTTAAACCAGTCTTGCGCCCCATACTTGGCGACAGCTTGAAGCAATTTCTGCAGGGAAGAAGCAAACAGAAAGAAGCTCCACGGGATAGCCATACCCTCCCCACCCTGAGGTCTCTCAGCTAAGAAGGGCATAGGACTGCACTTAGGACAACCAGTCAAACTTCCTGGGAACAGTATTCTCTGGGTGCCAAACTTACAGCATCTTCCTCTGGGGCCCAGAATCCCCTTTTCAGGTTGGGATCTAAGCTCTTGGTCCATCGGTAGATCAGTTGCATGGAATCTCTCCCTTCCATGAAGTAGACAACTGGGGACAGAGAAGACTGGGATTCATCTATCCTATATAGGCAATAAACAGGGACGGGGTCCTTCCAGAAGCTACAGAGAAAAGTTACTCTATCACTAGGACCCCCTTCCCACTTCTCCCTAGTATAACTGTAAAATCTTCTGCAAGTCTCTGCTTCCAGGCACCTGGGGCCTCAGGCCACTAGGGCTTGGAGCAGGTCAATGAACCGGAAGAAGCTATTGGATGTGGTGGGCTTACTCCTGCGGTATGGGATGTGGTTCCCAACGCGCATCTCTTGGACCAGCTGGGTGAGCATGTGGTCTTCCTCCTCTGTCCACTCCTTGCGTTTCAGGGCTTTGTTGTACTGCTGGAATTTCTGCAGGCACTGGAAGGCACTGCGACTTGTCTTCCCAAGGCCAAATAGAAACAAATGGGCATTATTGGGCTTCACCCTGCACATGCAGAAATACCCAGAACAGCCTTCCAGGAGACCCAAGTGGTTCTGGGAGACAGGTGTGCCTGAGCCACAGGCAGCACTCTGTACAACAGAACTCTCCTCTTCCAGGCTCTTATCAGGTGATAGTTTGCTAGACCATGGTTGGGACCCAGGACAGGAGCAGCTCAAAGAGGACTCTATGGCTTATAGAAAGAAAACATGGCCATAGACAGCTCTGTTGTTAATCCCAGCATAATCCTGAAGCAGGAAAGGTGCCAAGAGTTTGAGGTAAATGGTGTTATTTTCACAGACAAGATGGAATTTAAAGTTAAAAAGATGAAAAAGAAATTTCTTTAAAAACACAATTTACCAAACAATTCCTAATGTTTGCTGTGTGTGCCAAACTACAGGGCATGAGACTGAGCACAACCCCAAGTCCAGAAGCCCTTGTCCTCCCAGCCAGCCTTCTAAGGTCTCCCAGGTTGTAGTCCTTACTCCAAGTTCCTCTGCAACCAAATGCCACTCCAGGTGGCCATGTGTGGCAGCGATGGCTTTTAGCTTCTCTACTTCTTCTGTGTTCCATTCTTGCTTATTGATGCTTGGATGCTCAGAACTCTGCCAGAACTTCCGGATCTCCTCTGCACTACGGGCTCCTTCAAACTACACCCACGAGAACAAAGTCTTCAGAAGGGTTGCTGAGGCCGAGCATACAAAAGATATAGCTCCTGGCTGAGCTGTCAGTGTCTGCCAGCCAGTGGCTTCTGTGTCCATGAAGCAAGTGGACTCATTTGTGCAGCCAAACCGCACTGAAGACTGTCTATCTCAGGAGCGGGACCTTGTCAACTGGGGAGGGATCCATGAAATCCTTTGCCACTTCAACTGCCAGGCATACTTGGACTGGCGACTTCATGGGTTAAGGCACAAGGGATGGTGAAGCTTCACCTAGTTCCCACCACCCTTGGCTTAGAAGCACTACTGCAGCAGTGGGCACCCAAGTCTTCCTAACTTACGTTAATATTGGAAATCTTCTCCCAGTCGTGGCTGTCTAGCCGGTTCCCCAACAATGCTTCCTCTGGGAGCTGGCTAAAGCAAAGGACGAGAAGCTGGAATCATGTAGGTCCTGAGGCCCTTCCCAGGACCCAGATAGCCCCAGCTTACTTGATGTCCTGAATCTCCTTCTCTGTTTCCTTAATCTGCTTCTCCAGGGCCTGCCTTTCCAACTCACTGGAGACTCGGCTCTGTTTCTCCTGTAGGTACTCAAGCCTGCAAAGTAGGTAGAGAGGAAGAGAGTTGTGGGTGGGATGTACTGTGAAAGCTGAGGCCCTGCTCTCTGAATTGCTCTTGTTCAAGCTTCACAGCTCAGTGTTGGAAAGCCTGCACAGGAAAGTGCTTTCTCTCCTGCCTTGATCCCTCACCACAAAAGAAGACCTGGCACCACCTCTGAGGTACCCCTACCACCAGAATAGCACCATCCAGGGTAAGAGTTGCCAGGTTGTTTACACTGGCAGGTGGTAATTGCTTGTATCTCAAGAGTCTGGACCCTCTGCCAGTTCTTATCATCCAGGACACAGACATCTCAGGCAAGCTCAACTTAGTTTTGCAGCCAAACAGAACTGTCTGAGAAGGAAGAGCCAACTCTCTCACACTTCAGGAAAACTGGCATTTCCACCATCAATACTGAGCACCAATGTCAGCACCAGAGCTGATGTGTCTCTTAGGGCTGGGCCAGAGGGCACTAGCCATCTTTGGACTTGTGTGTTCAATATTGATGGTGGCAATCTGTCAGAACAGCAATGCTTCTCACTGTGTACTCCCATTACGCACCATATGACACCTGTGGTCATGTGACATGTACCCATCAACAGACATTGACATCATAGTGCTGAAAGGGCAGCAGAGAGGCAGAGCACGCTCGGATGAACCTCAGCAGCCCCACCGCTTCCTGGCTTCCCACTAGGGGGAAGGCTATGATGATCTGTTTCCAGACTTACTTCAGCAGTTTGGGCTGAAGCAGGCGTTGCAGGCGGTCACTCACTACAGACTTCCTGAGCAAGGATTTCTCCCAGTGCTTCCCTGAGGAGGAAGAGATAGTGATGGGATGTCATAAGGTTTTCCTTGCTCCACGGACATACATGTCCACTGAATCCTCTGTACAATCCTAGCCTACCCACTACCCCCTGCTCCAGAAAGTTAGTGGCTACATCTCTGGATGCTGGTAAGGCGGCTAGCCTTCTAGTCCATGAATCCATCTTCCACCCAAAGTTAACTCAGGGTATTCTTTCAGGATAGCTAGAGTTGGGAAGGCTGCATGTATGGCTCAGCCTGCACCCCACTCAACACTGGAAAGGCAAAGTGTTAAGTGGTCAGTCCCAATGATAAAGTCCTGAAGGAGTCCATGATGCCATAAGTAGGCCCACGAATTGTAGCCTAAGCCTAGAAGAGGCCAGGCTGTGGGGATGTCCTCTGTGGTTTCCATGGTTGCAGGACACCCATCCAAAAGCCTGCCTGGATTCTTACACTTGGTCACCAAGAGCTGTTCAAAGGCCTTGATTCCCTGGGCAGCCTTCTCCCGTGTCTCTTCATTGGCAGGAGGCCCCTGTCAGAGTGTACAGTGTTATAACATGACACACCAACCACATGTACCCTCCAGAGTACCTACTGAGACTCAGAATCTTCCCTCCAGCTTCCTCATGTGCTGCCCACATGTAGGGCCAGGCCCAAGACTTCTGTACTGAGTGAAAACTCTGGACATGACCCACCCAGTACAAGGAAGTGGCCAGAGACCCCAGGAAGATGTAGGCATAGAAGGCCATCAGCAGTCTGAGATGTACACTACTGACTTGCTAAATGCTATTGACTCTTAAGGGAAACACAGCCCAGAGGGCAGATGTCAAGTTGGAAGCCTTGCCTCTCATTAAAGGATGATGAAGAGAATATTAATCCTACAGGCCCAAAGGAACACACCAGTACTCACCACTCCAGTGACCTTGTCCCTGAAGTATGGTTTCAGGAAGTGGCCTATGTACATGCATGAAGGCAGGCTTTTGCCATCCTTCACCTTGGGGCATTTGGTCCCAGCCAGATCAAACAGGATCTCCTCCTGGGACAAAAGCACGGCCCTCAGTGGGCCAGGTAGAGAAAGAGGGCAGGTGGTAGGTGAGCCGACTCACTCTCAGCTCTGTTCGGGGAGCTGTGAGGCACTGAGGGTCAGGACGGGTTACACAGGTGTTCAGTAGGCCATCTTACCTGCTGCTCCTGGTTCTGGGCTAGCAACTGGCTAACCTCTGCCAGCTTTTCCCGGATCACCTCCTGGTAGACCATATTTAGCTGCAGACAGGTCTCAGGGTCTTCAGGGAGAGCTTTGTCCTTGGGGTCCTCACTGCTGCCCTCACTTGACCTTTCTTCTTCCTGGTTAGGAGCCAGAAATGGAGCATGAAGAGATGGGACACAGGCAGCCCCCTCCTTGTTGCAAAGCTCAAGCCTAAGCCCATGAGGAACTCTGAGGCAGCCCTAGTATATGCCTGCTGAATGTGGAACCCTACTGGAAGGAGGGAGAAGTTATACAGAGCCCATTACCCTCAAGTTACAGGGTGTGCATCTTTTCAAACCAACATGAGATCTACTTGTAACGTGCATGCTGGGGTTAGGGGTTGGTGTACCACAGCAGGCAGCTTCCATTTTTGCAACAGACATCTCTGTGAAGACTGAACTTCACAGCAAGTTTGTGCCCCTATCCCCACCACCTCAAGTGTCAGATCTCAGCAAGGAAATTCCCTGCATAGCAACCTGGGTCAAACCCTGAGAACGCCAAATGTCCAACAACTCCAGAGCTGTGTCAGTCTATTGAGCAGACACATGGTCCTTAGACACTACGGGACTCTGTACTCGTTTATTTGGTAAGGAAATAAGCAAGATGAGCAAAGCATGGTTAGCATGACTAGATCTCTTCCAGATGTTTTCCTAGTCTGCCAGATGTTTTCCTAGTGACCACCATCTAGACTGGAAAACAAAGGCACAGTGGGTTAGCTGTGGAGCAGGTCCCACAAAGGCTGCCTCTCACATCTGATGTTTTGACTGTGAGCTCAGGAAAAGCCAGCAGCTGTAGTCACCAGACTGTTAAGAGTGGTTACTTCTATGGATAAACTTTAGTTTTGATACTAAGTTGTGTTCAGGGGTATAGCTTGGTAGAGTGTGAGCTTAGTGTGAGTGAGCCCCTGGATTCCATCTCTAGAACCACAAAAATAAGTATATACTTTGTGATGCCTTATTTTTTTTTACAATAAATAGGCATTAGTTGTAGAAAATCCCACAGGGATGCAAACGAAGCCCTCTTGGGCCAGTTTGGAAGAGAGTGACAGAACGACCCAGCAACCCTGCCTGGTAAGCAACAATTACCAAGATGGAAGCGGCAGCAGTTTCCAAGTCCTCCTCAGGCAGGGAATCTGTGAGAGACACAAGCACACTGTATTGGAGTGGGAGCATGGGTAGCAAGAGTACGCTACAGGCAAAAGTGAACACCCATAACAGGGTCTCACTGGAGTGCTATCCAATAAGCTCAGGGAAGAAGTTCTGGGTATTTGGGCCATGGAGACTATTCAAGCTGATAGGCTGAACTCTGGGCCCTCCTCTCCCCAGCAGGATTCACCATTGCCTAGCAGGCACAGGCCAGATGGCAAAAGGCGTGGGTCTCCATATATAGTCAGCAGCCCTGACAGCTAAGACTGAGAGACTGGAACAAACTTTCTTACTGAGGTAAAAGCAGAGGACAGTTTGGGCAAGAAACAGAGTCTGACCATGGAACAGTCTACAACCTAACATAGCTAAAGGGCACACACAGCTGTTCCAGCTATGCATGGTAAGCCAGGCACACTGGCATACCTGCTTCTGAGTCCGAACTGAGACTGGATTCAGAGACCTCAAAGTGGATGCTGGATGATCCAGGATACAAAATCCTTTCAAGTTCCTGGATCTCCTGTGTTATTTTTTCTCGTTCGGCGTCGATGTCCATGGCTTCAGCCTGCCTTCAGAATATTATGAAACATGAGAAATTGAGTGTGCCTGGATCTCGTTCTCTCTCAGACATACACTTGCTGGAGATGGCAAAAGCTTGTTCAAATGTAGACAATGGACTACCCAGATGGAAATCGGCTTGGGGTTGCCCTGAGGTTGAATTCCTACAAGTTATGACTGACACTCTCTTTACACCCAGGAACTCCTGCTCTTGATTCAACACCTGAAATGACCCTACTTTCCCTGAGGCAACCACTAACACAGGTAAAAACACTTGCCTCTGTGCCCTAAGGTGCCCAGCTGGTCACCAAGTGCTGAAAGTGCAGAGCCAACAGACATCCATCCCCTGTGATCTAAACTGTGATCTAAAAGGAGCTGTAGGTGCCCTGCTCTGCACAGTGCTGAATGGCTAGCTGTCAGAGCACAGCTTTGCTTAGTCCATGATTTATCTTTTCAGAACACCACACAAAGGAGGTTTTTCTCTTTGGTACACTATACACGAAGTCTGAGGGCAGAGGAAATTTGGAAGAGAAGAGTGAAAGACTATTATAGAAAACACAAGCTCAGGTGAGTGAGATGGCTCACTATGTAAAGGAACTTGCCACCAGGTGTAAGAGGCAGGTGGATCTGAGTTTGAGACCAGCTTGGTCTACAGAGTGAGTTCCAAGTCAGCCAGAGCTATAAAAGAAACTTTGTCTTCAAAAACAAAACTAAAAAAAAAGCTGAGTGTAGTGGCACACAATTTAAATCCTAGCACTTGGGAGGCATAGCTAAGTGGATCTCCGCATTTCAGACCATTAATGAGATACTGTTTCAAACAAAAATCAAACACAAGTTCACACCCAGAGCCAGAAATGAAGAGAAGCATCCTGCTTGACTTTTTCCTACTAAGTTGTTGATAGCAGTCTTAACTGACTGCAACAAAACAAAACAATCCCCTTCAACGATATTCCTTTCTTATACAGGGAACGTTTGTCAACCAACTTGGCTAGAAGCAGCCGGATCTGCAGACCTAGTAATAACCATTGCCAATGGATGCCTGGTCTCCAACAAAAGAGTAACGTGTGTTTCGAGGCAGCAGCAATTCAATCTCCTCCCATAGCATCGCCCACGTGAAGGAAGAAAAAAAGAAATCACACGTTTAAGTTCTGAGTTGGGAGCCACGGTACGCCTGTACAGGTATCAGAGACACTTTGCTGCTGTCCCTAACTCCGGGCAAGGCAGTTGGGGGCCAGCTCTTCGTGGCTGGATTCGATAAGCCAGGGGTGGCCGCAGGTGCTGCAGCGCGTGCAAAGGGTTAGAGCAACGGTTAGGAGCACAGCACTGGGCAAATTCGGCCCTGCATCTCACCAGCTACAGGACCTCGGCTGGGCTCCGGGCGCGAGCTTTCGGCTCCAGCAATGTCGTGACCACGCCAAGCCTCGGTTTCCCCGTGCTGATTGCCCTGCCTGCTAGCTGCCACCCGCCAGTCCTCACCTGCTAGGCCTCCCTTCCGCACTTCACAGCCAGCTTCGTCGCCCAGACGACCACACGCATCTCATACTTCTGGCAGTCGCGGAAGTCCATAGGCTTGCACCGGAAGTCCCACCCAGGCCGCGGCGCAGGGCATGCTGGGACGTACGCTGAGGGGCGGGGCCCTAGCTAGGAGCTCAACTTTCTCCAGGTTCGCTGGGATATGTACTTAGTCCCCGGTGTTCTGACTTTGGATAAATGAATGATCAGTGTGTCGCCAAGTACTTTGCTGCGTATGGCGTCCTCGGAGCCCACAACCTGGAACCGCCAGAAGTGGACATTCATTCACTGAGGAATATTCTGCCTGGCCAAAACATCACAGAGCTGCTGGCTAAGGGGAGTCGGGGGTGGGGGGCGGGAAGGTCGGTCTCACTCTTAGGAAACAAAATACCAATCTTATTACTCACAGCTTCTTTAATTCTACTATCCCCAGGAAGCTGGGTCTTCCTAGTGCCTAATAATGCATGAGTGGTAGAAGCATGGCAGTGGCTTGAGGCTCAAGGCTGGTGAAAACCAAGCCTGGCCACTTGCCAATTTGTGGGAGCTGGGAAAGTTCTCTTATGGAGAACTAAAAGTCACCTGCAACACTACTGGAGTGGGGAGTGGGGACAAAGTCATGAAAGCAAAGAGTGATAGCACATCTCTTTAATCCAGCACTCAGGAAGCAGAGGTAGGCATGTATATCTGAGTTCAAATCCAGCCTAATATACAACATAGCAAGTTTTGAAACTATATAGACCTTGTTTCAAAAAAGGTAAGAGACATATCAAGTCTGGCCCAGAGTTGGGTTTGGCCAGAGTGAGTCTGGGACATTGAGACCTGCAGGTTCCTGGTGTAGGACCTTCTTGTATGGGGCAAGCCTGGTACAAACTGTTGGGCAAATTTCCCTAGGGTACTTTGTGGTTTGGGGATTTTTTTTTTTTGACAGAGTTTATGTAGAACAGACCAATCTAGATCTTTCTGCCTTTGTTCCATGGTACTATGAATAAAAGGCATGCACCACCATGCTCTATGGTGCTTGTATAATTTTAATCTAGGAACACTTCATACATAAATGAAGAGAATAGTGTACAAACAGCTGTGCAACTCTCCTCACCCCACTCACTTGTGGTGGTGGAGGCAGGCCGAGGGCTCCTCTTGATGGCAGCTTTGCCTCAAGCCATATGGGTAGAGGGAACACGAGCCTCATCTTCCTATGGGTCCCTCCATCTTGCACTCTGGTCTGCTGAGGCACTAACACCAACAGTAGGGGTGGGGATGGCTTCTGAAAAGCTGTAACAGTCCTTGTGAGTTAAAGGGCCCAGTAGTTTAATGCCTTGTCTAAAGAGTTGCTGCTAGGCTTCCGTCCACCCAGCCTCAGTGTGGAGCTAGGATGTGGCTCATCCAGCACACTGACAATGTAGTGGCTCTTGTGATATGCCTGACTCCAGGAGTCAAGAACCTGAAGATCTGATAAACCAGCAATCTCAACCCTCTTGAGATGCAGCCTTTGAGGTTAAAAGAGCATGGTAGCTCTCAAGTGTGGATTCCTAACTAAGCCAGAATGATAAAGCAGTAAAAATGATCTTCAGGATTTATTTAGATAAGAAAGCTGTCGATCTCAACAGGAGGGGAAAAGGAAAATTTAAAAAATCTATAGGAAAGTGGCCCCCAAACCGTGACCCTTTAGCACAGTACAGGGTGCTGCTTATGTCTTGCTTGCCCTTCAAAAACCAGCCAGACAGCCCAAAGAGCTGGTACTGACCCTTCAGGCGGTGTGTGCTTTAACTCCAGTCTGAACTGCACTATGCAAAAGGCACACCGACACATTACCATGCATCAAAGCCGACAGCCACGGTACTGAGTGTATGAAGCTTTGTAATGTGCACTGTCTGTGACCTTGGTCCTATGGTCTGGTGGGAGGACAGCAGCATCTACCAAGTGGTGCTGCCTCAGTGAGGCTGCTGACAGCAAGAGCCATCCTGTGAAGGCCACAGTGTCAACCATCTGCTGGTGAGGCACTGAATGACAGCACAAGTCCCTGTACAGGATGCTCACTTCCACACTGGCTCACTTAGTGTTCTGCCTGATAGAACTGAGGCTGAGCCCGAGCTCATCCTACAGTAAATTTGAGGAGACAGTGGAAGAAGCTTCTTACAAAACTGTCGTTTCAGCTTTAGTGGTTTCTAAAAATTGCTGGGTTTTATAAAAATGTCTTCCAGTAAATTAATGAGTCTATCAAACAGTGGGACCTCCCCCAAAGGACTTCATGTAAACTGTTCGGAGCGACTGGTGGAAGGAGGCCCGTACTGCAGGTGGCCAGTTACATGGTTAGGCTGTGAAATGCTTTGGTGAGGACTGCATAGTTAGGAACACATCCGGAAGATGTGTGGTGCCGTCAGTGCAGAAGTGATGGGACCCGGTGACAGGCAGAGCTTCTCAGGAGTCTGCCTCATCTTTAACCTCAGTAATTCTGTCGATAGACTTGAGGATTTCAGCAACAAGGTTCAGTGTCTCTGCTCCAGACACCAGCTGCCTAGAACACAGAGACCAGGGCCATTATTCTAGCTGTGCAAGAGTAGCCAGAGACAGATCTAAAGGAGAGAGCCCAGAGAGAAAACTCCTCACATCAACCATGGTTTGCCACACAGGACTCTGTGTGGCTGTCCTCAGGCCCATGTGCTTGTGCACTGGCCAGCCACTCTATAGCAAAGCTCAGCGAAGGCAACTAAGATGGTGGGTTGAAAGCCAGACAAGTTCATCAGAAAGTGATTCTGAATTCTCTTTGCTTAGGCCAAGCTGATGGTGCAGTACTCTCAATGATGTGGGCAGCAATCATTGCAAGCCCTATTTCTAGTCATGAGGAAAGCTACGAGGAGGACTACTATGCTTTCGTGTTAATAGGTTGGATGAATTAAATACATCTCGACTGGTTTAATAACAAGCTGAAGCTTTAGTGAGTGTTTAATCACCATTACCATCAGCAACTGACTGGCGCACAGTATGCTCACTGTGGCAGTCTTCTGGATAGGGGTAAGCTATATCATCCCCTTTAGTTAGAGCTGCAGCGTGTACACAGGTAAAGAAGCTGGATTCAGAGTCATGCCATCATCCACATCTATTAGTGGGAAGTTCTCTGAAACAGATTAAAAATAATCCTAAAATGGGCATGATAATGCATACCTTGTTTCAGAACTTGGGAAATAGAAGCAGGAAATTTCTACGAGTCTGAGGCTAGCCTGGTCTACACATAGTGCCAGAGCAGCAAGGGCTACACAGGGAGACTTTGTCTCAACAAAAACAAAAACAAAAAAACAAAAAACCCTCAAAAAAGAAGCCAGGTGAGGTGGTGCATGCCTTTAACTCTAGCACTCTAGTGCAGAGGCAGAAGGACCTGTATGAGTTCAAGGTCAGCCTAGTCTACATAGTTCCAGGCCAGTCAGTGACTGCCTATAGCGTGACAGAGCCAGTGAGCACCTCTCCCTTCCTGGTCTGGTCAGACTGAAGAGCTACAACACGTGGTAGCCGGGCCATCGGGACTCACTTTATGGATGCATGTGCACTGTTCATGACAACATGGAGGTTCTGCAAGGCCACATCGGTGTTCTGCTTCACCACGGTAAGGCTGGCACCCTGGCCTGACCGAAGGGCTTCATTTTCTCGCTTGAAGTTCGAGAGCTGTGCCTAGAAAAAAGGGTGAACAGTTAGTGCTACCAGGCAATCGAGTCATGCCTCTGCATCACAGCAGGCACAGGTCTGGACATGGAGATGAGCCTGGCCCTGGCCGACTAAAAACAGGTGCTTCTTGCCCTGTAGCCCAGACTGGCCTTAAATGTACAACTATCCTCCTGAACACTCCCATTGTAAGCAAACATCCCCATGCTTGGCTTACACTACCTTTTCCTCCCTGAACTCACAGCTGTGAGATGTAACAAAGCACAGGAAGTTATACCTTTCTTTTTACTCACCTGGAGCAAATTCATTTCCTGTTTCAGCTTCAAGACATGATTCTCTGCTTTCATAGCCCGTTTCTATGGCCCCCAAAAATAAACACAATGCACATCAATGCTGTGTGTTATGCTGGCCTACCACAATACACACACTTAGCCCGGTGAGAGCTGCCTGTTGACCTCAGGGTCCAGCTGTGGACTCTGGCAACAGTAACAAGTTCTCTTTTGCAGCAGCTTCCTGTCCCCTGCCCACTACCCCAGAGCAGAGCCCCTCCGTACGGTCATCAGTTCGAGGTTCTGTTCGACTTGCTGGACTACTGACTCGAGGTCATGGAAGTCACTCTCCTCCTTGATCATCTTTGCCTCCAACTTCCGTTCGAGCGTCCTCACCCTCAGTAAAGGAAAAACTGAGGTGAGTTCTCCAGGCCACTGTCAAGAATGCTTCCAACGGCACTTTAGCCTGATTAACTAGTGAAACCCACTAGAGCCCAAGGATGGAGCAGCTGCCTCAGGCAGTCACAGGGTGGCAATGACCTCTGGCCAGAATAGCTTCGTGCTCCAAGTGGAAGGCCCAGATGCCATTTTCTCAAGCTCTGCCAACCAAGACAAAATTCAGCTGACTGTGTCTTAAAAAGACTAAAACAGAACCGGAAAATGTGTTTGGTGCTTTAGGTTTAAGGACGACAAGCAACCGAGTTCCCCGAATGGTAGAGAAGGTTTGAAGGTGATGCCTAACTACAAGTTTACATACATTTCTGTCTGAGTTTCAGAGAAGCTCTGAACCTCACTTAGCTTTCTTCTGAGCTTAGAGTTTTCATCTTTCAGCTGTAGAAAAAAAAAAAAAACCCTCATTAGACACCCAGTATGTCTCTCTCATAAGCAGAACATACTTCTGTTCTGGAGTACTTCCTTTTGCCAGTCTAGAGGTGGAATCTTATGATTCGAGGCAGGGCTGGAGGTGTGAAGACACATCCCGTTTGTCCATGAAATGTCTTTTTGAGGGAGTATCTCCTGAAGCCCAGTTTGCCCTCTACTTGTTCCTATATAGCCAGGAATGGCCTTGAACTCTTGTTCCTCCTGCCTTTACCTTCTAAGTGCTGGGATGACAGTCATGCACTTCCATGCCCAGCTCTGGAACATCAACACCCCAAGTCAAATGGAAACACCCTAAAGCCCTTAATAGAGATGACTTGTGGCCACATACTTCAGTATTTCTAGGTGACTGTGATTTTAAGGCCCTTCTTCAAAGTGGGGCATTCAGCAGGATGACTCTTAGCCAACACTTCCAAAAGACCACTTATTCATGCTAGCTCATGTTTGCCTGCCTGAGAGCTCACCACAGTGCTTCTTAGCCTGCTATACTAATTGCACAGCCAAAACCAACCCAGGGGAGAGCTCTCCATAGAGAAATTCATTTTTCTTTCTTATTTTTCAGCATTTGGGATCTAACCGAAGACTTCCCAAGTAATAAGAAAAAAACTACCACTGAGCTATCAATATGGCCCCTCTTCAGGGCAATTCTATAGCAAGCTATTATATGAGTGACTGTTTTGTCTGTGACCTGAGTGCAGGCCACCCAGGAGTAGCTGACTGCAGCTCTTCTCTACGACACTGCCCCTCACTTACTGCTTCGTAACTTATCTGCAACGTCCGCAGGTGTCTGTCCCCTAGGGAGTCTTCATGAGCTGCAAAGTCTGCATTTGGACTCCCAGTGGGAGATGCTGGAGAGATCCTGGAATCAGTGTCACTCAGCGTCCATGGGGGCAAAGACTCGGGACCTGCCAGCTCTGATGCGTTGGAAAAAAAGGAAAGGTAGGTGCCACAGGGTGACGAGTTCTGTGTAGCTCTAGAGGAATGAGTCTGCTCCACGGCAGAGGGCAGGTAGGCTCTATTCCATCCGTCTTCTTCTTCCTCCTCTAGGTTGCTGGCTCTTGTTGGGTCTTCAAAAAATGGCTGCTGATATTCCAGGCCATATCCCATGGGCTGGGAGGCAGGGGAGCTGTGGTCTAGTCCCAGTGGGTGCCTCGAGGCTTCCTAAAAACAGTGAAGAGAAACACTGCAGACCGGAAGCCAATGCTCAGCCTTCTCTATGCTCCCACAAAGGCCCATTTCGTCTACCGAAAGGGGCCACACAGCTGTTCCACCCACAGCCTCTCCATCAGCAGCCACAGCTGTTTTGCTTGGCTCCCCACATTCAAGTGTCTGTCTCCAAAGCTGTAAGGTACAAGAGATGTCCTTTAAGGCAACCACTGACAGCTTCCCAGATGTACCTTCGGGTAAATTCGACTGGTGGTCGTGTCTTCTTTTGACAGGCTGAGGTTCTTGGTTTTCAAAAACTCTCTGAAGGAGAATGGATTGGCTTCCTCAAGGTCTTCAAGTTTGTCACCTGAAACAACGAACACCACAAAGACTGTGAAAGGGCCCAGCATCCTGTGTTATCATCACATTTCAACTGTGAGCCAAACAACACTACAGAACAGGAAAGCTGCCCAAAGCGGTTGGAGAATAGGCCCACTTTGACAGGCTCTCACCCTTTGGCCTCCCTGAGACAACCCTTGCCACCTTAAAACAAACAAAGAATGCTGTGCCAAAAGTCAAGTCCGGGGTCTACCTCTGAGTCATGCCCAGCTCCAGCAGTGTGTAGACTGCTGAGGCCACACACTCAGTGTGGGCTGAAGGGTACTCCTGTAGGTGAATCAAAGGTCCTGAGACACCACAGTGCCAGGAACTGCTCTATGCCATCCCTTCCTCTGACCTTTTCTCCAAGTACCCTAGCTGACCAGCTTCTACCTCCAAACCTACCACGCTCAGTTGCTTGAGTCTCATAACACCCACATCTTATGTGGGTGTCAGCCTGAGTAAGTGGACTTCTGTGTGACTTGTATCCTGCTGCCTCTCCACCTCCCACGCACCTCTGACATCTTAAATTATTTTGCCCTCACACTCAGTCTTCAATCCTTGGGCATCCATCTCCACTGCTCTTTTGGGCACCCCTTACATCCTGTCATCCTGAAAGCCCATGGAGACCACGAGTCTTGAGAAGAGGATAAGAAGAGTCACCAAAATAATACTCTACCTCCAAAGCGTGTCTCATGGGCTCCCGACGGGCCTTGTTTAGTACATTTCCCCTTTCCATAGGCAAAATCTGCAAAAAGACACTGTCAGCTCACCGTGATCACAGCAAGCCTTATGACTGCAGCCGTTTGTCCAGGGAGGTGAAGACAGCAGACGCCTGACTCCCACTGACAGGCTCTGGTCTGGGACTAGAAGGCTGTCTCCGGAGGCTGGACGCAGTAAACTACACACTCCTGCGCGCTCTAGGAGCAGCTACAGGTGGAACGCAGACCCACTAGGTCCAGCCCCTGGCCTCTCCCAATCCGGTGGGCTGAAGTGGTCTCCGAGCTCCACCGGGCACTGACCTTCCTGCCTTGGGTCGGGCGGGCGGGCGGGCTGTGGGGAGGGCTCCCCGCGCTGCCCAGCTCCGCACTGTGGCCGGCGCCCCGACTCTCACCTGTGTCTCCTACCGAAGCCAGCACCGGGCTGGGCACATAGCACATAAACGTCGGCCGAAAGCCGAAGAGGTGGGGGTGCAGGTCCCCGCCATGGGGGCGCTCACAGTCTAGCTGGGGGAGACAAGACCGGCGCTCATAGAACGCAGGAGCTGTAAGCGACAACGAGAGCGGCTTCACCGCGGGCCGCCGCCGCCCGCGCCCCCCGGCTCTGTCCCGGCCGCGCGCCGCTCACCGTCGGGAACCACGAGGCTCCGGGTCCGCGATAGTGGGGGCGCGCCCTGCCGCCGCGCATAGCCCGACATCGCCGCGCCCTAACCCGGCCGCAGCCCCATGGCCCACAACTCCGCCGCCAGCCCCTGCCTTATCCGGCGCGGGCGGCCGGAAGCCAGCGCCGAACGCCGCGGGGCGGGGTCGGAAGCGGAAGTGACCGCAGAAGCGCGGCGGCGCGATGGCGACGGCAGTGTGGGCGGCTGCGCGGCTGCTTCGGGGCTCTGCGGCTCTCTGCGCGCGGCCCAGGTGAGCTGAGGCGCATCTCGATGCGAGGAAGGGAGTACTCGGGCGGAGTTGGTACCGGGTGGGAACTGAAAGAGGAGAATGGGCCCTGGAGCAGAGCACAGCCGCCTTGGGCCTGGAGAACGAGCCGGGGACTGGAACCTGGTTGGAGGGGTCGTCAGAGTTACTCGGCTGGAGTCTTCCCGACCAAGGCGAAGCTCTGAGGGGCCGGGCTAGCCCAGGCCCATATACACAGGAACTGGTTTCTCACTCAGCCTGCTGTTCAGAGTGGGCAATGAAGACCAAAAGACCGGGGCTGGAGAGATGGCTCAGCAGTTAAGCCTACTGATTGCTTCCCCTGGGTTTGGTTACCAGCACCCACATGGTGGCTCACAACCATCCACTTCCAGGGGATCTAAAGCCTTCTTCTGACCTTCATGGACACCAGGCATGCCTATGATGGGCATACATTCGTGCAAGCAGACACTCAAACACATAAGATAAGAATAAATAGCTATTTTTGGTTGCTCTGCTGTAGGTTTGGATCTGCACACAGACGGTTCAGCAGTGGCGCCACATTCCCCAACATCCCCCTCTCTTCTCCCTTACCTGGAGTGCCCAAGCCTATTTTTGCTATAGTTGATGGACAGGAAAAGTTTGAAACCAAAGTTACCACTCTGGACAATGGGCTTCGTGTGGCATCTCAAAATAAATTTGGACAATTCTGTACCGTAGGAAGTAAGTTCTACTGGCCGTGGTTTTGAAAACTTTCTGTTGATTAAATGTTTTGAATATCTGGCTTAACTTGTCAATTTTCTTTTTATTACCAGTTCTTATTAATTCAGGATCACGATATGAAGCAAAATATCTGAGTGGAATTGCTCATTTTTTGGAAAAATTGGCATTTTTGGTCAGTATCTGATTTGTAATTTTTATAAGTTTTCAGTTTTTCTTTTTTAAGAACTTGTATTATTGATTTGGATTCGAAGTTGATGCTCACAAAAGATTTATACATAATTTTGTGTGTTTGAAAGCAAATGTAAACTTAATATTTTTTGGATTTTTGGGTTACTTACTTAAGCTTTATTTTATAGTCTACTGCTCAATTTGACAGCAAAGATGAAATTCTGCTTACGCTGGAAAAACATGGTGGTATCTGTGACTGCCAGACCTCAAGGTATTTTGTGTTCATGTGTAAATGTCCTAATCCTTGGTCAGAGCCTCTTGGAGTCTCTCTGAAAACTAACAGCGAGTCTGATGGAGTGCTGGGGACAGAAAGCATACCATACTAGTTTCTTCTCTGACATCCTTTGATTTTCTAATTGACCTGGCTTTTGCCTGTAAGAATGCTAAGCTAAACAAGCAGGCCACTGACAGCTGTCTAAAGCTGGGCATGGTTCCATGTAAAACAAGTCTTCATTTAGACTAGCTGGCTATTTGTCCAGGCCTAGGAAGCCTGGAGTGAGACTTCCTCTGTGAAGATAGGAGAACCAGTGTCATCTGGTTCCATAATATCTTATGGAAAGCTTCACTGTAGGCAGTTGTGACTCCTATAAGGCCTTCACACTAAGGAAGAGGCACTGGTAGAGTCTTTGCTGGCATGCAGAGCCTCAATCCCTGAGTTGTTATCTAGTGTAAACCTAGCACCTGCTATTGTGGCTTATTTCCTTCCAGAGACACCACCATGTATGCTGTGTCTGCTGACAGCAAAGGCTTGGACACTGTAGTGAGCCTGCTGGCTGATGTGGTTCTGCATCCCCGCCTGACAGGTGTGGCTCTGTGGCTGGGTGGTCAGGAGGAGCTTTGGAAAGGCTATAACTTTGTGTGGGGAGGCACTGTTAGAGCTGGGCATTCATGTGCCAGTCATTGGAGAGTGCCAGTCATTGGAGAGCACCAGTGCTCAAGCCCTTAGTGTTGTACACAATGCTTCATACTTTCAAATATCTAAAAGAAACTTTAATGAAGGGTTTACTTAAATTCTTTTCAGAAATGTCCCTCATCCTGTGTGTAAACAGGAATGCCATGCCTACAGAGGTTTCTCTTGCATGGTCTCCTTTAAGCCTTGCGATGGCAGGACTTGGATCCTGTTAGGAGGATCCTGGAGGGACCAGCTGCTGGGCTCTGCGAGCTGCTCTTTGCTCAGTTTCACAGCAGCCTGGCCGCATGTCTCCAGCTGAGGAATGGAGCTCGGACTCAGGTGGTTTCTGTTTTCTAAATGTTACCACATCCACCTTGTGTCCTCACAGGTGTGTTTTAGAACAGACAGCAGGTGAGGCAGCTGAGCTTGGAGCGGGTCCAAAGGTCTGCAGAACAGAACAAGAGGCCCGGGTCCCTAATTTTCATCTGGCATCCTCCCTTGCAGGTGCTCCAGGGCTTTCTCTAGGAGGTGACTATAGCACCTGGCCAGGCTCAGCTGCTCAGGGTTAGTGCTGTCTTCTTCTGTGCTGGTTCAGACCAAACCCTTGTCTGGACTCTTGCAGATGAAGAAATTGAGATGACAAGGATGGCTGTGCAGTTTGAACTTGAGGACCTGAACATGAGGCCTGACCCAGAGCCACTGCTCACCGAGATGATTCATGAAGTAAAAGAGGAGGCCACACGTGCCTCTCCCTGCTGTTGGCCTTGCGGGTGGTTAGGTTTACAGAACGTGCTTTTTTTTTGATAGTTGCTATTCGGTTCTGGTTTTGTCTTGAATTCATAATCTCCCTGCCTCAGCTTCCTGAGTGCTAAACTTGTGGGCCTTTCATAGCTGTAGTCTTCTGAGCCTGCCATGTCTGCAATGGTAGCTGTTCTCACTTAGGGTATTACAGTCTTTACCATCCCATCTCTGTGGCCCTTGTATGTGTTTTTCAAATTTTCTCTCTGAGGTAAAACTTGCTGCTTCTAGAAACACAAACATGGAGCCAAACTGGAGATAATGCCCAGTTTTTTTGTTGCTATGGCTATAGGCCATGTTGGGGGCCTGATTTTTTCTCACTTGGGTTTGTTCTCCTTCTGTCTGCCTCAGGCTGCTTTTAGGGAGAACACAGTGGGCCTGCACCGGTTTTGCCCTGTAGAAAACATAGCAAAGATTGATAGAAAAGTGCTACATTCCTACCTGAAGAACTATTACACCCCTGACCGCATGGTACTGGCTGGAGTGGGCGTGGAACATGAGCACCTGGTGGAATCTGCCAGAAAGTACCTTCTGGGAGTTCAGCCTGCCTGGGGAGCTACTGGAACTGTGGACGTTGACAGATCAGTGGCACAGTACACTGGGGGGATCGTCAAGGTAACTTGGCAGGAAAACTCAGAGGACTTGTGCCATGTATCTCTGGATATGTACTTTGATAAATGTGTGTATGCTTCTCCTGGTGTACAGTCCAGCACTGTGACAGTATGAACACATCCCATGTTCAAAGCAAGAGGTGACAGGGCTGAGGCCACCTGGTGTCTGGTTGAGTGTGGCTGTTTTCGTAGGAAGTTTGCTGGCCTTATTAACATGTGTCTGGTTGTTTACAGGTGGAGAGAGACATGTCAAATGTCAGCCTTGGCCCAACCCCAATTCCAGAGCTCACACACATCATGGTGGGACTGGAGAGCTGTTCCTTCCTGGTGGGTCCAGATATAGGTTGGGATGGATGTACCAGTGGGACCGAGCAACTGTGGCAGGCTGGCACTGACTGGTGTTGTCTCTGCACTACACAGGAGGAAGACTTCATCCCCTTCGCCGTGCTGAATATGATGATGGGAGGAGGGGGCTCCTTCTCAGCTGGAGGGCCTGGCAAAGGCATGTTCTCCAGGCTCTACCTCAATGTGCTCAACCGGTGGGTACCAGGCTGCTGAGAGCATGGGCTGTGCTGACACCTTCCAACTACCCTGTCACCTTCACTGGACACCATATGTCCCTTCACAGGCACCACTGGATGTATAATGCAACCTCCTACCACCACAGCTATGAAGATACAGGCCTCCTGTGCATTCATGCCAGCGCAGACCCAAGACAAGTGAGGACAGCACTCTTGTCTGTCTAGCCACTCCAGTGCACACTCTTCAGAAGTTCTGGAGCTCTGGGTTGGGGAGCAGGGACGTAATTGGGGGGGGGGGGTAAGCAGGCCAGGGCTCAGCTCACACCCTCATCTCACGTTCTGTTGTAGGTTCGAGAGATGGTAGAGATCATCACAAAGGAGTTCATCTTGATGGGCAGAGTGGTGGATCTGGTGAGGCCCGGAGCATCCCTGGTGCCCGCATCTAGCTGAAAGAGCCCCAGGCTGAGCTGCTCACTGTGCAGCCTCCCTCGTGCTTCCCCAAGGGCAGTGTCCCTCTCTAAGTTGTTCCTACAGAATGACCATAAGACAAATAGTAATGCAGGGCTTTCCTAGCCTTTCTTGGCTCCATTTTATGTTGGAACTCACGTTTTTGTTGACTTTATTCATTCATTCATTCATTCATTTTTGAGATGAGGTTTCTATGTGTACAGCTGGCTGTCCTGGAACTTGCTCTGTAGACCAGGCTGGCCTTGAACGCAGAGCCACCTGATCGGCCCCTGCCCGGCTGGCTGTCTTTTGATAAATATTCGGAAGTTTTGTTACTTCCTGGGCCAGCACACACAAGAGCAAGGTGATTTGCCCGAGCATGCATTTTGTCTTTCTGCATAATGCAAGTTTTTTCTCAGTGTTCAAATACCATACTGTCTTAAGAAGAAAGGGTAACATTATTGAAAAAATTAAAATATGCTTAAAAATGAAAACCACTGCAGAGCAAAGTAATTAATGCATATGCATACCTGTGATCTCGGCTCTCAGGAAGTAGAAGTAGGAGGTGATGAGTTCAAGGCCCACCTAAATGTATAATAAGACTGTCTAAAACAAACCAAGGTCTGGGTCTGGGAGTATGGCTCAGTGTTAAAGAGCTTACCAGTACAGCCAAAATTAATGCTCTGTATTTCCACCAATATCTCGATAAAATGCTTTCCACTAAGTTCAGATCTATTGAGATAAAATACAGTATAAAGTATTTGCCTGAAATTGCATAAGTCATAAATAACTTGTGTTAAGACAAACATAAGATAGCCAGGCTGACCTCAAGCTTGCATTCCTCTTGCCCCTGCCTCCTCCTGAATGCTTGCCTTGTAGGCAAGTGCCTATACACCCAGCTTCGTCTGTCCTCTTGTGGTCCTGATTCTTCGGTGCCACATTTGAAGTTCACACCTGGTCAGAAGCTCAACTGTTAATTCTGCTGCCTCCTTGGTAGCACCAGGAGATAGTGGCCTGGGTCCTATGTTTAGAACTCTGAGCACCAGAATCTTTGCTTCATCAACCACCTCTGGTTTCCTGTGCAACCAGATGTGGCTTCCTGATGCAAGTTGCTCTCCTGTGATTCAGACAAGCAGCAAAGATTGGATATATGTCTTGGGTGTGATACAGTCTTTTCCAGTTCAGTTCCTCCCACGTTTGGAGTGTGCCAGACTGTTGGGCACATGGAGGCCTTTCTACTGGGACATATTTGGGTCAGCTCCCTCTGCCTGCTTGAGCCAGCTGTAGATTTGACTGGTGGTGTTTGGTCCTCAGGTGGAGCTAGAGCGGGCTAAGACACAGCTGATGTCCATGCTCATGATGAACCTGGAGTCCAGGCCTGTGATCTTTGAGGATGTGGGGAGGCAGGTGTTGGCTACACATTCAAGAAAGCTGCCCCACGAGCTATGCACACTCATTCGTGAGTATGCCCAAACGCCTTGCTTGTGCTCATTTGAGATTGTCCCTGATGCTGACAGATAGTTCTATTGTCTGCCACACCACAAGCCGGAGCTTCCCCAAAGTCCTTTCCCAGCTCCTTCCTGTACTAATTAAGCTCTTGAGTCTTGGGATGGAGGTAGTAGTGGTAGAACAGTGTCACTGGGCTGGAATAATCTAGCTTGTTACAGGCTCCGTCCTGTGGCTCTGGCAGTGTGTCTCATGGTTTGTGTTAAATCTTCTGGAATTGGGTCTAAAGCTTGGAACAGAACTGTAGGTGGGGGGCACCTGTCCTCTGAAGACAACTCAGTCCACCTGCCTGGGCTTGGGAATCCTGGTGGTCTGGGACAGGTGATGGTCCTGCCTTCATGAGAGGCCTCATCTTGGAAAGTACTGACCTCCTTGGGTTCTAGGGGATGGATTTCTGGGATCCTGTGTGTATGTGTGTCTGCCTGCCTGCCTGCTAAAAAGGACATGCACTGGGGGAAGGAGGCTAGATTTTTTTCTTCAGACTGGAAAATAAAGTGAACTTATGACAACCCACTCTGTCTAAACACGAGCCTCCTGATGGGTGGCTATGCCCTTCAGTGTTGGGTTGTTTTTAAGTCTCAGACAGACTCAACAGCTCAGACTGGCCTTAAACTCTAGACCTTCCTGTTTAGCTCTGAGTGCATTATCCTGCTTAGCTGACCTAGTGTGTTTGAAATTATTTGCTGCTGCTACTGCTGTTGTTTAGGGGATTTGATACAGGGTCTCCTGTAGCCCTGGCTGGTGTCGATCCGGAGCCTCCTGCTTCTACCTCCCCAGTGCTGGAAGTGCCGGGAGTACAAGCACATACCACTCATCCTGAAAATAATTCTAAGCCACTATAGTTCCTCACCTAATGGAAACGTCCCTTACCCTACCTTGGTCAGTTCCACAGCAGTCCACACCCACAACCCTCAGCGGTGGGGATGATGTAGATCAGGGTTCCTCGGCCTGAGTGCACACACAGTTTGAGATGGAGAAGGAAACTCTGCTCTTGCCCTCACTGCCTCTTACTCTCTGTTGTAGGCAATGTGAAGCCAGAAGATATCAAGAGGGTTGCTTCCAAGATGCTCCGTGGCAAGCCTGCTGTAGCCGCCCTGGGTGATTTGACTGACCTACCCACCTATGAGCACATCCAGGCAGCGCTGTCCAGCAGAGATGGGCGCCTGCCTAGAACATACCGGCTGTTCCGGTAGAGTCCCTCCAAGGGCAGGCTGCAGAGTGCTTCTGTGTATGTTACTGTTGGTGTGAACACTGCATAAGGATAGCTAGCTCTGTGAACAGTGCCAACAGTGAAACTCTTGGAAACTTGAATGAAAGTTACTATTGCCACTGCACCTTTGTGTCTCAAAACACAGGTGGCTTTTTCTTCTAACAAGCGTTGTTACTGAGTGTCTGCCAAAACAGGTGCTGTCTGGCCAGTAGACATTCTGGAAGGCTGGGAAGTCTCAGGGCTCTAGGGAAACAAAGCACACAGGGCCTCTCCACTGTTAGGACCACAGGCATGGATTGTTGTCCTCATTCTTTTCCCTTTAAATAGGATCTCACAGAATAGCCCTGACTGGCTTGAGACTTGCTATGAGACACACTCGCTCGTCTCAAACCCACAGAGACCCTTTTGCTTCTGCCTCCCGGGTGCTTGATTATAGGCAAGTGCTACCACACCTGGCCTTCTCAGTGCTAAAGCTTAAGTTTTTTAACAAGCCTGAAGGTGTCTCACAGTCTTAATCCCTTTGTTTTTTGAAATGGTCTACTTAGCCCTGGCCGGCCTGTAACTCCATATAGAGAGAAGAATGGCCTCTTCTTGCCTTGATTTTGCCAGTGATCTTCTTGCCTTGGCTTCAATTACTGGTCTTCCAAGTAAGAGTCACCAAGCCAGTTATTTCTCAATTATTTACAAGGCCCAGTTTTTAACTTCCCACTTTAAATGGTTAACTTTCCAACTAAAATGCCTTCTAAATGTAAAGGCTATCTAAATGTAAATTGTTAGGGATGTGCTTTGTCCCTTACCCCAAGACTATGATCTTGATTTCAGGCCAAACTGGGAAGTTTGAGGATTCCCTCAGTCTTCTCTAAGGTGCCAGAGAATGTCCACAAAGAAGCACCAAACTGCTGGGTGGTAGTGGCGCATGCCTTTAATCCCAGCAGTTAGGAGGCAGAAGCAGGTGGTTTTCCGAGTTTGAGGCCAGCCTGATCTATAGAGAGAGTTTCAGGACAGCCAGAGCTACAGAGAAAACTGCAACTGCCACATCAAACCTCACTCAAGCCAGGAATAGGTTAGGCCCAGGGCTGCCTGTCTGGGAGGGAAAAAGCAGTTCTAGCTTCGTTACTAGGAGTCTTCCTGGTGGAGTTTGCAGTTCACTGATTGGACATTCTGGCACTTTGTACATTTGCGTGGTTTACTGAAGCAAGTGACTTGGCTTTGCTGACATCCATACTATAGAAGCTGATGCTGGTGAGTTTCATCTCATTTGTTGGCTTATTTTACTATGGTTCGCTGGAGTTCCAAGTCATCACTTTTTCCTTTCCACCTGTTGCTGTTTCTGGCTGTAAGCAAGGACAACACCTAGGAGAAGGACCTGGGATGGGAATGAGTAGCAGGTGACAGCTGAGACCAAGTTTGCTGCCTTTGACTTCTATGCCCTTTTAAAACCCTGGGGTGTCCTGAGGCCCCAAGATGCATGCAGACTGCTTCTTCCAAGGTTCAGTCTTTGTCCAGAAAGAGTTTATAATTTAATATATCCTTATTTATTTAAAAATATAAATATGGAAAAATAAATAATTAGAAGACTAGAGTGGATGCCCCTAGGTGTCTGTACATTCAAGGCTATGTCTCTGAAGGGAGGGGTAAGATTGAGAGCAGTGAAGAGTCCTAAGCTTTCTGCAAGGTGCTGCCTGGCAACACAGTTTCTAATGCCTTTCTGAGACTAGCAGCACAGAAGCAAAGGGTCTGAAGCTCCTGAAAACTATGAGTTTGACATAGCTGGGCTGGGCCTGTAGAGAGAGGTTTCCTACTCTACTAGGGGTTGGGAGCCTGGGACCAGGATGTAAAACCTCAGAGCCTGTCAAAATGACTAGGAATATCCCAGAATTCTAGTCCTGGCAGGTTCTAGGCATTGAGCATCTAAGATCCCAGAGGTTGCCTGATCCCTCCCTGGAGGAAAGGAGCTGTTATTAAGAGGATGGACATCTAGGACACGGGCTTGAGCATGAGAACAGGAATGAGAGGTTAAGACTGGAGTGCTCAAGGGCAAGAAGTCAGAACTGCTCCTGTCGGGGGAAACTGCTGCTTGGTGTCCACGTGCCCCACTCAGCAAATCCCTGCCATGTGCCTGTGGGAACATGATCTAGATGAGGCTTGTCTTGGCCACAGCCCACTGCTGTCCTGAGGGGTGGGTATGTAGTGAAAGCAGGGGAACCCCTACCCATGGTTTATTAGAACCCCGGCATTACAAGAGCATTGGAGAACAAGCCCATCTCTTTGCAGTGACCTTGGTCCCCCAGCTGCAGTGGCCAGTCCTGGTCTGAAAACTTCAAGACACAGTGCAGACAGCACTGGAGCTCTGACTCTTCAGTGCTTCTTGTCTTTGAATCTCTTTTGAAATCCGTCTTTTAATTCCAATCAAGTACAGTTCTCGGTCAAACTTGCCGGCAGCTAATGGGATGCTGTGGAGGAAAGACCTGAGCTTCACTCGGCTGCACACCTGCTGTGCCACATAGAAAACAGGCCACTGTCCAGAGGTAGGGTTCATCCCATCTAGGCTGCTCTGGCCCCAACCACAACCCTGGGTGTGGAAGTGCCCAAAGGTGGTGATGCTGGTGTGTCCTTGGACCTGTGCTCCAGGAGCTTGCTCAACCCTCGGGAGCCAGATCACAGGACAAGCTACTTCATGCACCACAAAGGTTAGTGACCTGGTGATTATAGGGATGCCCTGAGAACTGCTAGGACCTAGGCTCAGATAAAAGCAAATTCATAATAACCTAGGGGCCACATGAAACATTGCTTTGCTCTGCACCTAAGCCTGTTATCCATCCTCAAAACAGTCATCCCATCCAGAACTGGCAGGAGCCCCCAAAGCTTCAGCCAGCTCTGAGGGGTGAGCAGGGGCTTACTTGTCTCGTCCTGGCCTCACTTTCACCCGGAACAAGCCATACACAGGACGGTGGTCTGAAGTCTTGATTCCAGGGCAAGAGGAATACTTCATGGGACAGATGTCACCCTTGTGACGGCTTTTGTATAGGACACGGTCCTTCAGAAGAGATGGTGAAGCAGAGATTGTGCGTCATTCTGCTGCAGGTATTCTCTGCAGGTCTGGCCTAGCTATTTCAGTTAGGGAGCACTCCCCACTGAACAGTAAGATTGTTAGGCATTTAAAGTCCTATGCCATCTGTTCCCTTCCAGCCCTCTGAGAAAAAGGAGCTGCCTTGCTCTCATGAATGTTCAGGGTCCCCTAGGTGCCACTGTATACCAAAGAGAGTCAAAGTAGGGTGGAAAAGCCAGGTGAGAGTGCAGCTGTTTCCTGCTTGTTCTCACCTAGTGCCAGGGAGATGGACTCAGGTGTGACTCCAACTATGGCCTCTAATGCATCAGAGCACTATCCTCCACCCCCAACAGGCTGTGAGCATGCAGTCACTGGCCTCGGGACTAAAAATCAGTTTTAGGTTGGCTAACCTGGCTGGCTGCTGTGTGCTGAGTGTCAGTCCTACACTGACATGAGGTGTGGCGGGCAGGTGTCCTGAGGCCAGGCTCAAGTTACATACCGTGTAGGAGGGCGTCCTTTGCTTGGAGGTGCTGTCATAGGTGTCCTTCCCAATGTCAAACTTGTAGGATGGGAGAAAGTGAATTTCTGCCTCCTCAAAGCCCCTGAAGATGGACCCTGCAACGCAGAAGAGTTCAGGGAGGGCCGGCCACACCTGAGGTGCTGCTCCCCAGGCCACTCACCTTTCTTCATCTCCCGGGTGAGCTGGTCATGTTGCAGGAGTGCCAGCACATCCACCTCTGGGTCCTGCTTCAGCAAGGCCTCCACAGCCACTCGTCCACCACTCAGGCGGAAGTTGAAGTCTCCAAACCAGAAGACCTCATCAAACCGGGTAGTGACATCCCCTGGGCACATGTGGGAGAATACATTGGTGCTGGCCTCCCCTTATCGGCTACAATCTGCTGACAAATGGATGGGCTCTAGGCCAAGAGACAGGGCCTCCTTTGTTTGGGTCCCCTTCCCGACAGAATCACAGCTGGGTAGCAGCTCCCCCTGGAGGTGAGTAATAGGAGCAGCCAAGGTCAGCAACTGCAGAGGTCTGGGAAGCTATCTGTGCAGTCTAGGTGCAAAGGATGCTTTGATGCACACAGCAGGGTAGCCATCAGCTTCTCACAGCTCAGTGAGGGCCAGGAAGTGGTCAGCACGGAGGACTTGTGGACAAACAATAGCCTTGGACAAGCCACTGGACCTTGTGAACTCCCATCTGCCCTGCTGCAAACCCAATGGCTATTTCAGTTATGAGAACTCCATGATTCTCTTAAGTCCACCAGTGGTTTCTGCTAAGCTGGCAGGGCACAAGGGACAGAAAGAGTCACGTTGCTGGAGTGTCTTGTGCAGCTGTAATCCTCACCTGCACTAGAGCGGTAGGGGTTTGTGTCTGGCACATTCCGGGGCAGGGCTAGGGCTTGGATGGTTCTGCTGTAGTCCAGTAGCCGCTCAGCTACCTTCCCATCTCCAGCTATGGGACAAAACCAGAATAGACAGTTGAGCTGCCCCATACCATGACTGTCCCCAAAATACTACCCAGTTGTCTGCTGTGGGGCTCTGTCTCAGGACTATGGTTGTCAACAGTGAATGTTCTGAGTATCAGACTCTATCGAGGGAGAACCCATCACTAGCCCAGAGCAACTGGTGCCCCACCTGGACAGAGGCTCACAAGTCAGTGTCAGGACTGGCTTGCAAACACTTACAGGTGAAGTGAGATGTGATGAAGAGGAAGGAGGTGCCAAAGAAGGTGAAGCTGACGCCCAGGGCCCCCTTGGTCTTGATCTGAGACACGATGCGTGTAGTTACTGTGGAGTGCTCGACCTCTGCAGAGCAAGGAACGGGGGTTCAGGGCCTGCACAGACACAGCTGCACTAGGTGTGCTTGTGTGTGTCCTCAGACACGGGAACCTCAAAGGCTGGATACGAATCACAAAGTGCACATTTGCCTGAGGGGACCCATATGTGGACAGGGTCCACGTGTTATTAAAGCCTGTATATGGAGACACCTAGCGTCCTTGCAAGGGCTGGCCAGCAAGATCTAAGCCTGAAGACAAGACTGGAGTTGATCCTAGAACCCATATGGTGGAAGGAGAACGGACTCTTGCAGGTTGTCCTCTGACCTCCACATGTACTCTTGTGGTACAGGCACATATGAGAGAGGAAGAGAGAGGGGGGGAGGGAGACAAAGTGGGACAGAGATGAAGAGAGGAGGTGGTGGGAAGCCCTATGGTATCGCCTACCTGAGCAGAACCAGATGAGGTCCCTACGGATAAACAGGGACATGTACAGGACCCCATGTGCTGCTGATGACAGCAGTACATACTGAGGGCCCAGTGTCTCTTGCAGGCGTGTCTCCCACTCCCGCCTGTGGGGAGGAAGCAGATTAGATGGGGTCTTTCAGCTCCACCCTCCCCCATATGCTACCCAAGGAACCCCTGGAAGCATTCCTAGGACCTCAAGGGACCCCACAACTGTGCTCATCTTGTACTGAGAATGACCAGGCTAATGGAGTCTTCATGCACCATGAGACCTTGAGTTGGCTTCAGGCCCAAGACCTCAATCTGAGGGAACGTGCAGATCTCCAATCCCACCTAGACCCATGTAAGTTATCAGTGCTCTATGGGCTGGCAGGGGTGGGCCCCATCTCTGTCAGGCTCCCTTTCCCAGAGCATACATGGTCTGCTGTCCTCACATAGGCCAGGAAACCCTGTAACTACAGTGAGGAGCACACAGCTGTGGAACCACTTCCCAGGGACATCAGTCAGGATGCCACAGGGTACAGACCAGAAGAGAGGCAGCCCAGAGCCTCTCAGCTGCCTCTGTGCTCCCTTAGACAACTGCTGACAAAACTTCAAACACTACTGACTTTTATGCTCATTTTAGTGAGGCATGGAGGTCCCTCATCTGGCCCACACTGCTTCAGTTCCACGAGGGCCTCAGGTCCCTCTCTTCAGTGCACTATCCATATAGGACACTGGAGGGTCAAATCCATAGTGGAGGCTGAATGGAGCCTCACCTGTCAGAGCAGCCCTCCTGAACTCCAATAACATACAGGTCCTGAGTGTAGTCAGCCTCAGTAGGGAGCAGGAACTCATCCAGGCTCGTTGGGAGCTCCTGCAGTGAAGACCACAAAACAGTCAAGACCACTGGGCTCCCTCAGGTCAGGGACAGAGCAAGGTCCTGCACAATCACCTGGAAGTGGTCCCAGAAATGGCTTCTTTTTAAAGAGAAGTTTCCCTCTTTGAGCACAATTGTTTACTTGCCACTTCCAAGCCCAGTACCCCTTCTTAGCAGATACTGTAGTCTGTGCTGCTGCCTGGGAGGTATGACCATCCTCTCAGGTGCATGGCCAACCCTAATCCCTCATAAAGACTCAGAGAGACAAAGGCAGCCTACTTGCCTATCTTTATGTCTATGCTGTGACCAGTGAACTGTGTTGGGGCCTTCTGGGGTAGGACTCCAAGGACATGGAATCCAGCTGCCTCTGCCTTATCTCACCTTCTGGCCCTGCATGTTCCAAGTAGCCACGAAGAGAGCCATGTTTCGGTCTGGGAAGTACCTGGCCAGCTCGTCTGCTCCTAGCAGGGCCCCACTGGCCAGAAGACTTCCCTCCAGATAGCTCCTACAAAGAGAAAAGGTAAGTGAGCAGCCAGCTTCAGGGACACCATAGTGACCCAGGAACGCCTCACTCAGGACAGGTACCTTTGGGGCCACTCTCTCCAAAGGGATCAGTCCTATAAGCCACAGGGCCTACAAGCCATGTGGGCAAAGGACAACCCTGACCATACCAGCCATTGGTGGTGCCCCTAGAGTTGGGATTTCCTTAGAGTGCAGTACCACCTTCACAGCAACACAGATGACACCCATCTCCCCCTGAGTTCAGTCTGTCTCCAGATCTCAATGGAATGAGGCCATACCTGTCAAGGTGAAATACAGTCCTAACAGTGTGATGAATCTCTGACCTACCCAGGACACATGTGTGCACCATGTGCTATAGGGGCTTCCCAACCAGCCTGCACAGAGATATTGAACATGTATAGCCCTGTGGGTGACTACGTCTCTGTCCTATCACTCAGCTCCATCAGCACAGTACAGAAAAATGAAAGTCCCAGAGAGAAACGCTGGGCATGGTTGTGTGCCCAGAAAGGACAATGGAATCTGAACCTCAGGGCTCAGCGATTAAGAACACAGACTACTACTTCCAGAGGACCTGGGTTCAATTCCTAGCACCCACATGATAGCTCATAACTGTTTAGTTCCAGCTCCAGGTTTCTTGACACCCTCACACAGACACATAAGCAGGCAAAACAAGGCTCGTGAAATATAAATAAATAGATCATTAAAAAAAATCCAAATCTCACATGATTTTTCATACGTTGAGAAATATCAGATTTGTTTCTATTATTCTCCAGCCTTTTAGGAATTGGAAGTCCTGGGGCTGTAGAGATGGCTCAGTAGTTGAAATCACTAGCTATTCTTCCAGGACCCAAGTTTGGTTCCTCGTGCCCACATGGAGCCTCAAAACATCTCTAACTCCAGCTCTTCTTTTCTTTTTTTCTTTCTTTTTTTTTTTTTTTTTTTTTGGTTTTTCTAGACAGAGTAGCCCTAGAGTAGTCTAGACAGTGTCCTGGAACTCACTCTGTAGACCAGGCTGGCCTTGAACTCAGAAATCTGTCTGCCTCTGCCTCCCAAGCGCTGGGAGTAAAAGCATGTGCCACCACTGCCTGGCGTAACTCCAATTCTAGGAAATTATGCTTTATTTTTATTTCATGTGTATGAGAGTTTTACCTAAATGTATGTATGGGCATCACATGTGTACCTGATGTCTGTGGAGTCTAGAAAATGATGCTAGATCCCCTAGAACACTCACATATGCATAAGATAAATCTAAAGAAAGAAATTTAAGTCCTTGTGAGCTTATTGCCTGGACATACAGCCCACTGTCCCACTGGCTTCCTCTAAATGCTGTCTGTAAAGCCACTCCTCCAATGCCATTTCAGTGGAAGACTTCGGACTCCCTGTTCTGGGTCCTCGCCACTGTCCTCTCCTCATGCACTCTTTCTCACAGGGCTCCCGCCTGGTTCACTGTCTTGTTCACCACTTGCTGCTGAAGCCTCTATCTTTTCACTGCCCGCATGCCCTGGTTCTCCTCAGGGTTAAAGCAGCTGCAACTGACTGAGGGAAGCCTAAGCTCTCCATTTGGTCACCTTCCTTCCTGCATTTCTGTGTCTGCAACAGCACTGCTTGCCCCTTCCCAAGCTCACAGGCTTGTTTCAGCAAGACATCCTCTTCATCCCCACATGCAGCAGCCATGAGAGCCATCTATCTTCCAGAATCCCAGGCACCCTCTCCTCTTTCTTTCAGGGTAATTTCTCCCTAGTCCTCATGCCCACCCACCAACCAGTTCTACCTAAAGAGAATGTGCCACGGTGCAAAGCAGGATCTGAAACACACTGAAGCTGCCCTGTGGTGACAGAAGAGAGCTGAGATACGGGAACAATACAGTGCAGACATCCTCCTCCCTCATGACTCCACACCCCTCCCATCAGCCATCACTCCCTACCCCACCTCCAAAAGAAGCTCGAAGGGCCTGTGCTGAGGGTTCACTTTACCCCCACTTATGTTACTGCCCTTTACTAGGGCTCAAGAAGGGATAGAGACACATAGCATCACTCCAACACCAGCTGAAAGGAACCCTGAGTACTTTTCATGTCTCTGGCCTAATTAAAAACAAAACAAAAACCAACCAAACAAACAAAAAGCTGACTTATTTTATTTATATAAGTGTTTTGCCTGACCCCCTAGAACTGGAGTTACAATTGTGAGCCACCATGTGGTTGCTAGGAACCAAACCCAGGTCCTCTGCAAGAACAGCCAGGGCTCTCAACTGCTGAGCCATCTCTCTAGCCACCCCTGACACCTATTTCTGGTGATGCTAGAGGTGGAAGCCAGGGCTTCATACATGCTAAGACAGGCCCTCTACCACTGAGCTATACCTACCTTCCTTCCTCCCTTCCTCCCT